GCCATAGATGCAGGCGAAACGTCAGGAGAAAATGCCTCTAGAACATGGCCATATAGCCCGGAAAACCTACAAAACCCAGTGATTCCGGCCATGAAAGGCTTCGACAATACAATAGACCTTGACGTTTGGGAGTTTTAGTTGCTTGCAATCAAAGAGCATTCTGAACCAGTGATAGAACTGGGCCAAAGTTCCCACACAGAACCCCGGTGACCAAGAGAAAATACTGTGTTTTCTGATGGTCTTTAGTGACCCCTCTGACACCCCCTTGTGACCCCCCCCCCCAGGGTCCCGACCCCCAGGTTGAGAAACACTGCAATAGATGATGATGATGATGATGATGATGATGATGATGATGATGATTATCTCTTTAATGATATTGTGGTCTACTTTGAGCCACAGGGAGAGGTGGGTATAATAAATGTATTATTATTATTATTATTATTATTATTATTATTATTATTATTATTAAAATATAATTATTTTATTATAAAATTAGATTATATCAGGATCACAATAACATATATTACTTTATTACAATATTTTATTGCTTTTATTGTTTATATATGGTGTATACTATATGTTATATCTGCTTATTTTTTATTATTAATATATTATTTTATTATACTATTATATTATAACCAATAGAATATCATATTATTAATATAGTATAATTATCACTCCATTTAATTATATTGTGGTCTACTTTGATCCACAGGGAAAGGCAGGTGTAATAAATATAATATTGCTATTATTATATTATATTAATATTATTTTAATATATTATCAGGTTATTAGTATCCTAATAATATATTTTATTACTGTATTATTACTATATTATTCATATATTATAATAATTATATTATTGCATATTATTCATATATTATAATTACTGTTCAATTATGATTAAATTAGATTATCATATTAATATAATATTATTCACATAGTATTGCATTATATATTGTTATTTTATTTATTATTTATTATATATTATATTATTAATATATTTTATCTCATCTCTTGATTTAATGATATTGTGGTCTAATTTGACCCACAAGTAAATGTATTAATGCTATATTATTATTATTATTATTATTATTATTATTATTAGTTTATTATATTATACTATAATATTATTGTAATAAAATAAATTTTGTTACTGTATTATTACTGTTTTATTTATATATTATAATTATATTATATATTATTAATATATAATTATTGATCAATTATTATTAAATTAGATTATCATTTTAATAATATAAAATTTTTCACATAGTATTATAAATTGTTATGTTATTTTATTATTATTTATTTTATTATTAAAATATATTTTATCTCATCTCTTGATTTAATGATATTGTGATCTACTTTGAGCCACAAGTACATGTATTAATGTTATTATATTATTATTATTATTATTATTATTATTATTATTATTAGCTTGTTTAATATAACAAACTAATAATATAATATAATAGCATTATATTATTATATTAATTATATTACTATATTATTATTGTAATAAAATAAATTTTATTACTGTATTATTACTATGTTATTCATATATTATAATTATATTTAACCCTAGATTATTATTATTTTATTAATAATATAATATTATTCATATAGTATTGTATTATATTTATTTTATTATTTATTATTATATGTTATTATATTATTATTAATATTATTATTGCAATGTCAGGAGAGAATGTTTCTGGAACATGGCCATACCACCTGGAAAATCCGCAACATCCCATTATTATTATTATTATTATTATTATTATTATTATTATTGTTTTCCTTTGGAATTGTAGCTGTCAATTTGCCGTGCAAAGCCTTCGGGTCACAAGGGACCGTGACACGCCAGGAATGGAAGTTCCAGAGAGACGGGACCACCGTGTTGTTCTATTATGGCGATCAATTTACAGGTATATATATATATTTGTGTGTGTGTGTGTCGCTGCAATATTATTATTATTATTATTATTATTATTTGGTTACACTTGTGGTCCCTTCCAACTCCAGAATTGGATTGTTCTACTAATTATTGTTGGTAGATATTGCACTATTAGATAAGTGTGATAGGATTGCATTGACTGTAACCCTATTGTGCAATACTGCTGGAAAATACAGTTCTAATGGACATGTGGTCACACTCCTACCGAAGGGAGGGCGTGATCGTGAAGGGGAAAACTATGAAACACGACGCAACTGTCCCGCCGTTTCTGACACTTTGCTCCTTCCTCCGCAGATGCCTACAAGGACCGGGCCGTCTTCTACCCCAACGAGATCCACCTCAAGTCGGTGACGCGCAAAGACTCGGGCCTCTACATCTGCGAGGTCGTGGGCAAGGACTCGAGCGACTTTACTCAGTCGCAAGTTGATCTCATCGTCCAAGGTAGGATTGTATAGTTCTATTATTATTATTATTATTATTATTACTATTATTATTATTATTACCAGAGGTGAAATGGCCCTCTGTCGGGAAGGATCAGATGGTACCCTTCCTTTATGGCACAAAGGGGTTGGACTGGATGTCCCCTGGAGATCTCTTTCCAACTCTGTGATTCTATAAGTCAGAAAATACTCTGACTTCAACCACAACCGCCGTCAATGCCTTATTATTATTATTAAGCAGAAACTGGATGGCCATCTGTCAGGAGGGGTCGGATGGTGTCCTTCCTCTATGGCACATTTATAACCCAGGAACAAAAGTCGTGTTACATAATGGAATATTAATAATAATCTATTTTATTGTAAATATAATAATATTCTTAATAATAAACAAATAGTAATAAAATGGCATTTTTATTATTAATAATAAAATAATAGTAATAAAACAGCATTATTATTATTTTATTAAGAATATTATATTTACAATAAAATTGTATTATTAAGAATATTATTATATTTACAATAAAATAGATTATTATTATTATGTATTTTCTTGTAAATATAATATTCCTATTAAACTAATAGTAATAAAACAGCATTATTATTAATAATAATAAAATAATAGTAATGAAATGGCATTGTTATTTTATTATTAAGAATATTATTATATTTACAATAATATAGATTATTATTATAATCTATTTCATTGTAAATATAATAATATTCTTATTAATAAACTAATAGTAATAAAACGGCATTATTATTATTTTCTTATTAAGAATATGATTATATTTACAGTAAAATAGATTATTATTATCTATTTTATTGTAAATATAATAATATTCTTATTAATAGTAATAAAACAGCATTATTATTATTATTATTAATAGGATAATAGTAATGAAATGGGATTGTTATTATTTTATTATTAAGAATATTATTATATTTACAGTAAAATAGATTATTATTATTACTGTTATTATTATTGTCCTCTCAGTCCCTCCATCAAAGGCTTATTATTATTATTATTATTATTATTATTATTATTATTATTCTTACTTCTATTACTATTATTATTATTATTCTCCTCTCAGTCCCGCCGTTGAAGCCCTGTTATTAATCAGAGATGGGATGGCCATCTGTCGGGAGGGATCGGATTGTGTCTTGCTCTTTTGGTTCCTTTTCCCTTCCTCTCAGTGGAAGCCCTATTATTATTATTGCTATTATTATTATTATTATTATTATTATTATTATTATTATGATTCTCCTCCTCCCAGTCCCGCCCTCGAAGCCCAAGGCGCAGGTCCCTTCGGTGGTGACCATTGGCACCAAGGCAGTCCTGACCTGCGTGGAGACGGACGCCAACCCGCGGCCCGTCTACAAGTGGTACCGCGACAACGTGGAGGTGCCCGCCGACCCCAAGACCAGCTCCTTGTTCCGGAACTCCTCCTACTCGCTGGACGACAAGACCGGAGTCTTGGTAGGTGCCCCCTTCCCCCGGGGCACGGGTTCCCCCTTCGGCCTTGTTCCCCCGGGGCACGGGTTCCCCCTTGGGACCCGTTGTTCCGTCCTCCTTCCGACTCCGCTCTCTCCCTTCTCTCCCCTCCACCAGGCATTCGAGCCCGCCATGGCCTTCGATGCCGGAGATTATTACTGCGAGGCCTCCAACAAAGTCGGGCCGTCCCAGAAGTCAGACGCCGTGCGCATGGAGACCAGTAAGCAGGCACCCGAAACCCTTCAAATATTGTAGCATACCGTTATTATTATTGTTTCCCCTCGTACTACTACTTTATTTAATAGTCAAAACATCTCAGCTAACATATTCGTAATAATAACAACAACAACAATAATAATACAATAGACTTTCAGTGAACCCATGGTACCAATGGGTTACAACAACAACAACCATCCAATAGACTCTCCGCAAACCCATGGCATCCATGGAGTTTGGGAGAGGCCATAATAATAATAATAATAATAATAATAATAATAATAATAATAATAGACTTTCAGTCTATTATTATTATTAACATATGGGTAATAATAACAACGACAACAATAATGATACAATAGATTTTCAGTGAACCTATGGTACCAATGGATTACAACAACAACCATCCAATAGACTCTCCGCAAACCCATGGCATCCATGGAGTTTGGGAGAGGCCATAATAATAATAATAATAATAATAATAATAATAATAATAATAATAATAATAATAATAGACTTTCAGTCTATTATTATTATTATTATTATTAACATATGGGTAATAATATTATTAACATATGGGTAATAATAACGACAACGACAACAATAATAATACAATAGACTTTCAGTGAACTCATGGTACCAATGGGTTACAACAACAACAACCATCCAATAGACTCTCCGCAAACCCATGGCATCCTTGGAGTTAGGGAGAGGCCATAATAATAATAATAATAATAATAATAATAATAATAATAATAGACTTTCAGTCTATTATTATTATTAACATATGGGTAATAATAACAACAACGACAACAACAATAATAATACAATAGACTTTCAGTGAACCCATGGTACCAATGGGTTACAATAACAACAACAACAACCCCGTAGTCTCTCTGCAAACCCATGGCATTCATGGGGATTGGGAGAAGCTATTATTATTATTATTATTATGCAATAGACTCTCAGTTAAGCCTTGGGAATTGGGAGAAGACACAACAACAACAAGAACAACAACAACCATCAAATAGACTCTGTGTGAACCCATTGCATCCATGGGGATTGGGAGAAGCTATTATTATTATTATTATTATTATTATTATTATTATTATTATTTTACAATAGACTTTCAGTGAACCCATGGTACCAATGGGTTACAATAACAATAACAACAACAACCCAATAGACTCTCCACAAACCCATGGCAATAGACTCTCAGCTAACCGAGGGCATCCATGGAGTTTGGGAGAGGCCATAATAATAATAATAATAATAATTATTATTATTATTATATACATTATTGTTGTTATTATTTTACAATAGACTTTCAGTGAACCCATTGTATTATTATTATTATTATTATATTACAATATTATTATTATTATTATTATTATTATTATTATTATACAATAGACTTTCAGTGAACCTGTGGTACCAATGGGTTACAATAATAATAACAACAGCAACAACCCAATAGACTCTCTGCGAACTCATGGCATCCATGGGGATTGGGAGAAGCTATTATTATTATTATTATTATTATTATTATTATTATTATTATTATGCAGTAGACTCCCAGTTAACCCCTGGGGATTGGGAGAAGCCACAACAACAACAACAACAACAACCATCCAATAGACTCTCAGCTAACCCATGAGATCCATTGAGTTTGGGAGAGGCCTAATAATAATATACTATAATATTATTGTTATTATTATTATTATTATACAATAGACTTTCAGCAAAACCATGGCACCAATGGTTTACAATACCAGCAGTTAGGAATTGTGGGAGTTGAAGTCCAAAACACCTGGAGGAAGGCCGTAGTTTGCCCAGTCCTGCCTGAGGGGTCTTCATGGCAGATGGGGTCCGGAGCGGGGTTGCCTGGGACCCCCTTTCGAGGTCTCAGAGGACGCAACGTGTCCAAGTGGGAATTCGGATGGACCCCCATCTCGAGTTGTATAGTCCAACCTTGTTTTGTGACCTTCTGTCCACTTTAGGTGAGGTCAACGTGGGCGGCATTGTGGCCGCGGTGGTGGTCCTCCTCCTCGTCTTGGCGCTGGTCATCCTCGGCGTCTGGTACGCCTACAGCCGCGGATACTTCAGCAGTGAGTAGCCAGCTCGCTTTTCGAGTTTCTTTTAAGAATTGACGGGGCTTAACACATGATTGAAATGAGGGTTGAATGAAAAGTAATGCCTCCATCTTGGTAACTCCTCAACAGATGGCGGTACTGGTATGCGGCAGGTACTGGCTTGTTCAGTAGACTCTCCTCTACAGTTCCATTTTGGTGGGAAGACTTAGCATTGAACGGTTGTGTTGTTAAAGTATAAAGTAATGCCTCCCCCTTGGTAACTCCTCAACAGATGGCAGTTCCAGTATGCAGCAGGTACTGGCTTGTTCAGTAGACTCTCCTCTACAGTTCCATTTTGGCCGGAAGCCATAGCATTGAACGGTTGTGTTGTTAAAATGTGAAGGATGGAACCCTGCCTAGACAGTCGGTCAGTGCGACTTAATCTGGTGACTATGTGGAAAAGTGAATAGTGGTTGAGAGAACTGAGATGCAGGTTGTGGAAACAGAGTGTCGACTTCTTCTGCGACGGCTTCAGAAAACTTGTTCACTGTTGGCAGAAATATATCCAATTGTCTGGTGATTATGTGGAAAAGCAAATAGTGGTTGAGAGAACTGTGAGACGCTCTTTGCGGAAACAGAGTGTCGACTTCTTCCGTGACGGCTTCAGAAAACTTGTTCATCATTGGCAGAAATATATCCAATTGTCTGGTGATTATGTGGAAAAGTGAATAGTGGTTGAGAGAACTGTGAAATGCTGGTTGCGGAAACTGAGTGCCGACTTCTTCCGTGACAGCTTCAGAAAACATGTTCGTCATTGGCAGAAATGTATCCAATTGTCTGGTGATTATGTGGAAAAGCAAATAGTGGTTGAGAGGACTGTGAGACGCTGGTTGCAGAAACAGAGTGTCGACTTCTTCTGCGACGGCTTCAGAAAACATGTTCATTGTTGGCAGAAATGTATCTAATTGTCTGGTGATTATGTGGAGAAGTGAATAGTGGTTGTTCATCGTTGGCGGAAATGTATCCACTTGTCTGGTGATTCTGCGTAAAAGCGAATAGTGGTTGAGAGAACTGTGAGACGCTGGTTCCAGAAACAGAGCGTTGACTTCTTCTGTAACAGCTTCAGAAAACTTGTTCACCGTTGGCAGAAACATATCCAATTGTCTGGTGATGATGTGGAAAAGTGAATAGTGGTTGAGAGAACTGTGAGACGCTGGTTGCAGGAACAGTGTGTCGACTTCTTCCGCGACGGCTTCAGAAAACGTGCTGACCATTGGCAGAAATGTATGCAATTGTCTGGTGATTTTGTGGAAAAGTGAATAGTGGTTGAGAGAACAGTGAGACGCTGGTTGCGGAAACAGAGTGTCGGCTTCTTCCACGACGGCTTCACAAAACTTGTTCACCGTTGGCAGAAATGTATCCAATTGTCTGGTGATTATGTGGAGAAGTGAATAGTGGTTGTTCATCGTTGGCGGAAATGTATCCACTTGTCTAGTGATTGTGCGGAAAAGCAAATAGTGGTTGAGAGAACTGTGAGATGCTGGTTGCGGAAACAGAGTGTCAACTTCTTCTGCGAAGGTGAAGGCATTACTTTTCATTCAACCCTCGTAGTTTCCTCCTTCCTCTATCACGCCCTCCCTTAATACGCCACAGCTCGGACTGATTGTCTGAGGACAAGCTATGAAAATCAACACAAACATTGCAGAGTCTTTGGTCAGAATTTGGCCTGATTCTCGGTGAGAAGGGAGCTAGAAACGCACGGCAAAAGGTGTAATAAACAAAAAGGAAATGTAATTGTACAGAAGATCAGCACCCTAACTCCTCCGGGGTTTGACTCGTAAACGAGAACTCGGAAGGAACAGAGAGAAGCTCAGAACTTAATGGGGATTCTCTTGATTGTTTCCAAAGAGATCTTCCTTCTCTTTCCCGCATCCTTTACTTGTTTTTGTCTCCTGTTAAGTCTCATTTCTAATGTTTCCACTGACCACCTTGATTAGCATTGGATGGCCTGGCAGTGCCTGGAGCAATCTTTTGTTGAGAGGTGATTAGATGTCCCTGATTGTTTCCCTTCTGTTGTTTTGCTGTTGTAATTTTAGAGGTTTTTTTTAAATACTGGTAGCCATTTTTGTTCATTTTCATGGTTGAAATTGTCTGTTGAAATTGTCCACAATTAAATTGAAATCTAATCACCTCTCAACAAAAGATTGCCCCAGGCACTGCCAGGCCATCAAATGCTAATCAAGGTGGTCAGTTGAAACATTCCCACCTAGAGTTCTTTGTCCCACCCTGGTCATTATTCCACAGATATATATACACAATTTTCCTCGTTCCAACAGACCTCACTACCTCTGAGGATGCTTGCCATAGATGCAGGCGAAACGTCAGGAGAGAATGCTTCTAGAACATGGCCATATAGCCTGAAAAACCTACAACAACCCAGTGATTCCGGCCACTGACAAGGCTTAACGTCTGTTCTTTTCTCTTTTTCAGAAAGAAAAGAGTGAGTAGAAACTTCTCCGGTCATTCTGCCCTTGGCCCAACGCCTTCCAACAACACACGCCTAAGTAGCTATTTGTCATTCATTATGTTTTCCCGTCGCAAAGGTATTAATTAAGACTTGCATCACACTGCAACTTAATGAGAGATGAGATCACTCCCATAATTTTGTGTGTGTGTAACTGTTTAGTGGAGGACAGTTTGGCCTTATGAAACAGCGGAGGGGGAATACTACACGGTTCCCGCGCCGCCTCGTGCTACGGAAGAGATTTCGACATTTATTCCCTTCCTTAAAGGATAATTATTCCGAACCGGGTGATCTCTTCGGCCCTTTTTCTTCCTCTTTCGTATTCTAATCCATTTATTTATTTATAATTTTATTTTTATTATATTTATTAATTATTATATTCTTTTTTTCCCCGATCTCTTTTCAGCGGCTCCAACAAGAAAGTCATTTACAGCCAGCCTTCCAGCCGCAGCGACGTAAGTAAACGAACGAACGAACTCGCTCCCTGTTTTTCAGGAAATTTTGAGGCCCTAAAAGGCGGCGACTTTTGCCAATGGGACAAGTTTGGACTTGGAAGTGGGTGACTCACCTTTGGACTCGAGGGAACGAGCGGCTGTTTACCTCGCTGCCGTTTGGGAGGTTGGGAGAGGAACACGTCCTAGTGGATGCTGCGCCAAAAAAGACCCGATACCCAACAAGACTAGGACCTAAAATATTGGCTTAAACAACAACAACAACAACAATATGAAATAAAAACAATAATATAAAATAATAATAAAATTTAAATAATAATAATAATAATATAAAACAATAATGTAAAATAATAATAATATAATTTATATTATAATAATAATATAAAACAATAATGTAAAATAATAATAATATAATTTATATTATAATAATAATATAAAACAATAGTATAAAATAATAATAATATAATTTATATTATAATAATAATATAAAATAATAAGACTATAATTTATATTGTAATAATAAGATAAAACAGTATAAAACAAGTAATAATGTAATTATAAAATAATTATAAAAAAAATACAAAATAAATAATATGTGTCCTCATGTTTTCCTTGAAGCATCCTACAATAATAATATATTAATTAAAAACAATAATGTAATTTATATTATAATAATAATGCAAAACAATAATATAAAATAATATAATTTTATTATAATAATACAAAACTAATATAAAATAATAATAATGTAGTTTATATTATAATAATAATGCAAAACAATAATATAAAATAATAAGAGTATAATTCATATAATAATAATAATAATAATATAAAATAATGAGAATATAATTTATATTATAATAATAATGCAAAACAATAATATATAATAAGTAATAATGTAATTCTAAAATAATTATAGAATAAAATAAAAAATAATATAAAATTAGTAATAATATATAATATGTGTCCTCATGTTTTCCTTGAAGCATCCTACAATAATAATATATAAAATAAAAACAATAATATAATTTATATTATAATAATAATGTAAAACAATATAACAATAATATAAAATAGTAATATAATTTATATTATAATAATATAAAACAATAATATAAAATAAATAATAATAATTATAGAATAATTATAGAATAAAATAAAAAATAATATAAAATTAGTAATAATATATAATAAGTGTCCTCATATTTCGTTGAAGCATCCTACAATAATAATATATAAAATAAAAACAATAATATAAAATAATAATAATTTATATAATAATAATATAAAACAACAATAATATAAAATAAATAATTATATTATAAAATAAATAATAATAAAATAAATAAATAAATAAATAAATAATACAATATAAAGTGCCCTGCCATGTTTTCCTTGAAGCATCTGATGTCATAGATCTAATTCATATCCACGGCCTCTTCCGATGCTCAGGATGGGAATTCAGGGCTCTTTTTCTCTCCGTTTTCAGGGCGAATTTAAGCAGACGTCCTCCTTCTTGGTCTGAAGCCCGCCTACGACCCGGAATCGTCTTCCTGTTGTAAATCTTCTTTGGACGGATCTTGTGTAATTAAGAGTGATTTTTAAAACTTTTTTAAAAAGGGATTGAGCGCAATGCTTTCCAGACTTTCCGAGAAATGCCTTCAATCCGATGAATCTGGAGCCGATCCGATGTGCCGGGAAGCGCTCCCCCCGTTCGTTCCCTGAGGCTGCCGCGATGCCGCATTGCCACCGGGCAGCTCTGCCTTGCGTGCCTTTATAAATACACACATTATTATTATTATTATTATGGTTTGTAATTTTATATGCTGGACCAGAAAATAAAGGTTGAGTCTCCTGGGGCCTCCGACCCTGTCTTGGCCGGTGCTTCTTGTCTCATAAGAAGGGTTCGTCTCCAAAGGTTGACCGCTCCCTGCTTGTGTATATGCATATATGTGTTTATATGTGCATATGTATGTGTGTGTATATATGTGTATATTTGTGTGTGCTTGTGCATATATATATGTGTGTGTGTGTATGTATGTGTGCATATGTATATGAATATATGTGTATATGTATATATGGTTTATTTTGGAGGGGTTTAAAGTCTGTTCTGCAGGGGGTTTTTGTATGTGTTTTGATGAGTGAGGGTCACTCGTTGGCCTGAGAGTTGTCTTGTGTCCAGATTTGGTGTCAATTCGTCCAGTGGTTTTTGAGTTCTGTTAATCCCACAAACATTTTTGTTTATATAGATAAATATAGAATATATATAAAATATATAATATATATAAAATATAATATATAATAGAGAAACTTCAAAAAGTTCACCACGTAGGCCGGCTGCCCCCTGCTGGCCGAGCTTGAGAACTGCAAGTATCCATGGCTTCCTTCTTCAATTATCTTTTACGGCTGCGACCTATAAAAACCAACAAGGACAAGCCTTCCAAGAGGTGTTTCAGCCTTTGAGAACAGATGACATCCATACAAACGTTGTGCAAACAATGAGAAAGGGCATTTCCTGCAATTTCGGGAAATAACATTGCTTCCTGAGACTTCTCTCTAACCTTCCAGCCCACAATTAAACGCAATCGGAACAATGCCAAGATGTTAAAAAAAAGAATGTTTGAAAAACAACGTTCAAAGTAATCTGTATCATAGCAACGTAACATTGATCATTCTAGTGAAGGAAGTTATAAGGAAAAACGGGGAATTATCGCAAGCTGACTTCGGTCATTCTGGTGAAATAAATGGTAAGGAAAATTGGGAAATTCTCACAACCGAACTTCAGTCATTCTTGTGAAATAAATAGTAACAAAAATTGTGAAATTATCACAACTGAACTTCAGTCGTTCTCGTGAAATAAATGGTAAGGAAAATTGGGAAATTATCACAACCGAACTTCAGTCACTCTCGTGAAATAAATTATAAGGAAAATTGGGAAATTATCATAACCGAACTTCAGTTGTTCCAGTGAAATAAATGGTAAGGAAAATTGTGAAATTATCACAACTGAACTTCAGTCATTCTCATGAAATAAATGGTAAGAAAAATTGTGAAATTACCACAACTGAACTTCAGTCGTTCTCGTGAAATAAATGGTAAGGAAAATTGGGAAATTATCACAACCGAACTTCAGTCACTCTCGTGAAATAAATTGTAAGGAAAATTGGGAAATTATCACAACCGAACTTCAGTCGTTCTCGTGAAATAAATGGTAAGGAAAATTGGGAAATTCTCACAACCGAACTTCAGTCATTCTTGTGAAATAAATAGTAACAAAAATTGTGAAATTATCACAACTGAACTTCAGTCGTTCTCGTGAAATAAATGGTAAGGAAAATTGGGAAATTATCACAACTGAACTTCAGTCATTCTCATGAAATAAATGGTAAGAAAAATTGTGAAATTACCACAACTGAACTTCAGTCGTTCTCGTGAAATAAATGGTAAGGAAAATTGGGAAATTATCACAACCGAACTTCAGTCGCTCTCGTGAAATAAATTATAAGAAAATTTTCAAAATGTTTGCAACCTTAATTTTGGTTGTTCTGTTGAAATAAATGGTAAGGAAAATTGGGAAATTATTGCAACTGTACTTCAGTCATTCTCGTGTAATAAATTGTAAGGAAAATTGTGAAATGTTCGCAACCTAACTTTGATCGTTCTGGTGAGGTAAGTGATAAGGAAAATTGGGGAAGTGCTATATCTCTCTGGGCTGCTGTTGACCTCACACTGGGATGTCCTCCTTGGCCAATTGGGAGAGAGTAGTCCTTGCAATCTGGTTTCTATGGCAGCTCCATACTTGCTTGAGGAAGGAACAACTCATTGCTGGCACTCCGGATTGTTTGGCCATGGAAATACACCACGCCGGAGGGAGATGGAAGCAGCGTGAGTACAAAGAGAGGAAGCGAGTGCCAAGGTTGGGTTCCTCATATCCCTTTGTGAATTCTAATTCCCAAATGTTAGCATCTTTCCCAGAAGGAGTCTTTGACCCTGTCTGCAGTCAGTTCCTATCTCAGTTTGGATGTGGTGCTGGTGTCTCCCAAGTCAGTCGGGCGGTACTCCAGATCTTGGGATAGATTTAGAAGAGCCATCTTAAGATCCTGAACCTGTTCCGTTGTAGCTTCCTTTAAAGCCTTGAACTCGGTTCACTGGACAAGCAGTTCCTGTAAGACTGTAGGTTTTGTATAACAATATTAAATGATCACTCACAAGCCGGTTTTGCTTGGAAATGAATACATTGTTTGTTTCTCTGCAGCAAAGAAAGATACTACTGACTTTTCCCCACCACCACTTCCTTTTATACACCTTTCCTGCCCATTTCCCCCCCCCCTCCTCTTCTCAGTTTCCTTATTAGAGCTTGTTGCTTCACAATTTCCAATACAAGGTTTCCAGCTCCCTCTGCTGCCTTCAAAATATCACAGAGAGAAAAGGCAGCCAGAATGATTCAGTCAGGATGTCACGGAGGGAATTTGTGATGTCTTCATGCCGTCAGAAATTGACTCCTGACAGTTCCCCACTGTGGTCACTGTGAATCGCACACACGGTAATTCCTGCACCTGCGCAGAGCAGCTTCAAAACCTTCTAGATAATTTATTAAACATTTTTGGTGGTTGCCCTGCCCACTCTCCCCTCCGAGTACATATAGCCAGTGGGAGGGGCTATGGCCTCCAGTTCTCTTGATCCGCCGCCTCAGCAACCTTCGTACCAGACTAGCTTCTCGATATTAATTGTGTTTCGACTCTGACTGCCTGACTACCCCTGATTTCTCCATTCCTTGACTTGAACCAGTTACTGGACTGACAAGTATTTCCCTTGGCTTTCGGCATGTCGGCTACTGCCTCCTTCAAACGTTGCAAAGGGATTATTTAATATGTATTTTAGAGACATAGTTTTTTTAGAACTACATTTTTTAGAACTACATTTGAAGAATTTTTGCAATGTTTGTGTGTTTTGACTGTGCTGTGACTGTACTCCCAGCTGGTTGCCAGCCTGGTTCTGTGAAAGTCCTCCAGTCGAGCTGGGGAGGCTGCTCCATCGACTAACAGTATCCAAAAGTCCCAGGCTCAGCCAGCTCTCAGGGCATAGCTCGACCAATCAGCTTCATGCATCTTATTTTACAGTTGACACACACACACACAAACTGATTTTACACATGCATCAACTAATTTTTGATTTGTTCATGCTGCGTACTTACCTGGATCTCATCTTCCTCTTCCAGGTTGACCGCCATCTTGGCCGACGGCGGTCACAATGGCGGCGAAGGGGACGGAGAACAAGATCTCTCTGACCGAGATGCAGATCAAGGACCTCCAACGCGCCTTTGAGAAAGGGAGCTTCTCTGACCTCTCCGAACGTCTGCAAGAGGCGCTTTCCAACTTGGAGAACATCTCCTTGGACGTGGCCATCACCGGAGAACCTGGCGTCGGCAAGTCGACCTTCATCAACGCTTTCCGGGATTTGCATGCCGATGATGACAACGCTGCCCCGACTGGAGAGTCCGCCAACTCCGCCAACAAGGAGCCCTGTCCTTACCCGCACCCGAAATACGCCAAGGTCGTTCTGTGGGACCTGCCGAGCATCGGTGGCCCCAGTTTCCGCCCTCGGGACTATTTGCAGCAGAACAACTTCTCCCGTTATGACTTCTTCATCATCCTCTCCTCCCGGTGCTTCACCTCCCTCCACGCCAAGCTGGCCCACTACCTTCAGAGGGTCCACAAGGATGTCTACTTTGTGCGCTCCAAAGTGGACGAGGACATCGAGGCGGGTCGGCGGGAGCACCCCTCCGGTTTCAGCGAGGCGGTCGCCCTGAAAGAGATGCGAGAGGCCTGCCTCGGCGACCTCGAAGCCGCCGGGGTGAAGTCCCCCAAGGTCTTAGAATCATAGAATCATAGACTTGGAAGAGAGCCCCGTGGGACATCTAGTCCAATTCCCTGCCATGCAGGAAAAGTACAGTCAAAGTACCCCTGACAGATGGCCATCCGGCCTCTGTTTCAAAGTTTCCAAGGAAACTCTGAGGCAGAGAGTTCCACTGTTGAACAGATCTTAAGTTCTTCCTAATATTCAAGTTCCTTTCCTGTCATTTGAACCCATGGATCCATTGAGTCCTAGTTTCCAGGACAGCAGAAAACACACCTGCTTATGACCTCCTTTCACATGTTTGTGCATGGCTCCTCTCATGTCTCCTCTCAACCTTCTCTTCTGAGGATGAACACACCCAGTTCTTTAAGATGCTCCTCATAGGCCTTTCTCTGCTTCTCCCTCAACCCCCATACTTTTCTCTGCTTCTCCCTTGTCTTGTGCGCGCCTTTCTCTCTTGCCCCGTGTGCTTCTCTCTGCTTCTCCCTCACCACTCCATGCCTTTCTCTTCTTCTTCACCCTGTGCTAAACTTTCTCTCCCTCGCTCCTGCGCACTTTTCTCTGCTTCTCCCTCACCCCACACACCTTTCTCCGCTTCTTCATTCTGTGCACCTTCCTCTGCTTCTCCCTACCCCATGCGTTTCTCCTGTCCCCCACTTTTTACTGCTTCTCCCTCACCCCTGTACCTTTTTCTGCTTCTTCCTCACCCCTGCACTCCTTTCTCTGCTTCTTCCTCATCCCCTGCACCTTTCACTACTTCTACCTCGCCCCCAGGCCATTCTCTGCTTCTCCCTTGCCCCCCACGCCTTTCTGTTTCTCCCTGGGGCCCCATGCACTTTTCTTTTCCCTCGCCCCCTGTGCCTTTCACTGCTTCTACCTCGCTCCATGTCATTCTCTGCTTCTCCCTTGCCCCCCACGCCTGTTTCTCCCTCACCCCATGCGCCTTTCTCTGTTTTCCCCCGCCCCCTGTGCCTTTCACTACTTCTACCTCGCTCCATGCTGTTCTCTGCTTCTTCCTCACCCCTGTGCACCTTTCTCTGCTTCTCACCCCCTGCACCTTTCACTACTTCTACCTCGCCCCCATGCCATTCTCTGCTTCTCCCTGCCCCCCACGCCTTTCTATTTCTCCCTCGCCCCCTGTGCCTTTCACTGCTTCTACCTCGCTCTCTGCCTTTCACTGCTTCTCCCCCACCCACTGTGCCTTTCACTAATTCTACCTCACTCCATGCCGTTCTCTGCTTCTCCCTCACCCACTGTGCCTTTCACTGCTTCTACCTCGCTCCATGCCGTTCTCTGCTTCTCCCTCACCCACTGTGCCTTTCACTGCTTCTACCTCGCTCCATGCCGTTCTCTGCTTCTCCCTCACCCACTGTGCCTTTCACTGCTTCTACCTCGCTCCATGCCGTTCTCTGCTTCTCCCTCACCCACTGTGCCTTTCACTGCTTCTACCTCGCTCCATGCCGTTCTCTGCTTCTCCCTCACCCACTGTGCCTTTCACTGCTTCTACCTCGCTCCATGCCGTTCTCTGCTTCTCCCTCACCCACTGTGCCTTTCACTGCTTCTACCTCGCTCCATGCCATTCTCTGCTTCTCCCTCACCCACTGTGCCTTTCACTGCTTCTACCTCGCTCCATGCCATTCTCTGCTTCTCCCTCACCCACTGTGCCTTTCACTGCTTCTACCTCGCTCCATGCCGTTCTCTGCTTCTCCCTCACCCCCTGTGCCTTTCACTGCTTCTACCTCGCTCCATGCCGTTCTCTGCTTCTCCCTCACCCACTGTGCCTTTCACTGCTTCTACCTCGCTCCATGCCGTTCTCTGCTTCTCCCTCACCCCCTGTGCCTTTCACTGCTTCTACCTCGCTCCATGCCGTTCTCTGCTTCTCCCTCACCCCCTGTGCCTTTCACTGCTTCTCCCTCGCTCCATGCCGTTCTCTGCTTCTCCCTCACCCCCTGTGCCTTTCACTGCTTCTACCTCTCTCCATGCCATTCTCTGCTTCTCCCTCACCCACTGTGCCTTTCACTGCTTCTACCTCGCTCCATGCTGTTCTCTGCTTCTCCCTCACCCACTGTGCCTTTCACTGCTTCTACCTCGCTCCATGCCGTTCTCTGCTTCTCCCTCACCCACTGTGCCTTTCACTGCTTCTACCTCGCTCCATGCCGTTCTCTGCTTCTCCCTCACCCACTGTGCCTTTCACTGCTTCTACCTCGCTCCATGCCGTTCTCTGCTTCTCCCTCACCCACTGTGCCTTTCACTGCTTCTACCTCGCTCCATGCCGTTCTCTGCTTCTCCCTCACCCACTGTGCCTTTCACTGCTTCTACCTCGCTCCATGCCGTTCTCTGCTTCTCCCTCACCCACTGTGCCTTTCACTGCTTCTACCTCGCTCCATGCCGTTCTCTGCTTCTCCCTCACCCCCTGTGCCTTTCACTGCTTCTCCCTCGCTCCATGCCGTTCTCTGCTTCTCCCTCACCCCCTGTGCCTTTCACTGCTTCTCCCTCGCTCCATGCCATTCTCTGCTTCTCCCTCACCCCCTGTGCCTTTCACTGCTTCTCCCTCGCTCCATGCCATTCTCTGCTTCTCCCTCACCCCCTGTGCCTTTCACTGCTTCTACCTCTCTCCATGCCATTCTCTGCTTCTCCCTCACCCACTGTGCCTTTCACTGCTTCTACCTCGCTCCATGCCATTCTCTGCTTCTCCCTCACCCACTGTGCCTTTCACTGCTTCTACCTCGCTCCATGCCATTCTCTGCTTCTCCCTCACCCACTGTGCCTTTCACTGCTTCTCCCTCGCTCCATGCCATTCTCTGCTTCTCCCTCATCCCACCTGTGCCTTTCACTGCTTCTACCTCACCCTGTGCGCCTTTCTTTGCTTCTCCCTCACCCCACATGCCTTTCTCTGCTTCTCCCTCACCTCCTGCACCTTTCTGTTTTTCCCTCACCCCATGCACACCATTCTTTGCTTCCCCCTTGCCCCCTTTTCCTTTCACTGCTTCTTCCTCACTCCCATGCCTTTATCTGCTTCTCTCTCACCCCGTATATATATATATATATCTACTCTCTCATAAAACAACTTGTTTTTTATCATGCACTCAAGAGACAAAAATGAAGTAGACTTTGATAAAAATAACATATTTGGTTTTCTCACAACCTTCATGTGTTCAGCATACACAGGGACAAGACTTATCCATCCAGTTTCAGATATGTGTTACTTTCAATAGACAAAGACATGTGTCTTGTAACAAAGCAGGTATCAACAGGTCACATAGTTGTAAGGAGAGAAAGAGCATGTGGTCTGTCTGTCAGATCATGTGGTCTGCAGCCCTTTTTACAACTTCTCAGGAACCATAGAGTAAAGGAAGCTGCATACCAGAACATGCATGCAAACAGTAAGCAGCAGAACAATAAAGAGAAGGCTTATAATCAGTGTTTCGTTTTCCAGAGTTCCATAGATCCAATCCGTTAATCATTTCCTAGTCATCATCGAAGTTCTTTCTTTATCTGCCCGCTTGTCCAAATGCCTGGTCCCAGATCCATGTTTTTAGTTTTTTCCTAAAAGAAAGGAGCGATGTTGCAGATCTAATTTCCCCGGGGAGTGAATTCCACAGGCGGGGGGCCACCACCGAGAAGGCCCTGCTCCTCGTCCCCGCCAATCTCACCTGTGATAGAGGCGGGGTCGAGAGCAGGACCTCCCCAGAGGATCTTAGGCTCCGAGGTGGGACGTAGAGGGAGATCCGTTCGGACAGATACACTGGGCCGGAACCGTATAGGGTTTTGTAGGTCAGGGTTTTGTTAGCTTAAAGCTAACAAATTGCTCCTTGTTGAGGACTGCAGACTTGAGTAGTGTGAGGTTGACTTCCAACACTGATTACAGTTTATTTCCTCCCCTGAAGGTCTTCCTGATCTCCAGCTTTGCCTTCGGGAAGTATGACTTCCCTCTCCTCGGGGAGACGCTCTGGAAGGACTTGGACCTCCAGAAGAGCCACTCGTTCCTCCTGGCTGCCCCAAACATCTCCCACCGTCTCCTGGAGAAGAAGAGGGATGTCGTGGCGCAACAATTGTGGCTGGTGGCGGTAGTGGCCTGTGGCGTCCTCCCGGAGCCCATCCCCGAAGTGTCCGTCGCCTGCGACGTGGAGCTGCTCATCAAGACGCTCCGGGGATACTGCGTCCACTTCGACCTGGAAGAGTCCTCCTTGCGGAAGGCTGCCGACCAAGCCGGGCTTCCTTTCGGGCAGCTCAGGGTTTTGGTCAGGTCACCGCTGTCCGGCGAAGTCACCCGGGAAGGAGTGTTGGAGAGGCTGACGGAGGCGGCCAGCAAGGCGCCCAATCTGCCCAAACAGCTGGTGCCCATGGCCTCCATGGGCCTGTCCTTTGCCGTGGTCTACAACATGCTGAAGTCCTTTGTGGACGAGGCGGTCGCCGATGCACACCGGGTCCTGCTCAGAGTGTTCATGAGCCAAAAGCCTCAAAACAGGTCTCGGGCCGATATTCAGAGAGACGTGGAAGAAGACAAATCCGAGGCCTAAAAAGACACCAGGATATCTCCTTGTCCTATAATACAAAACCCCATGGAGATGTTTCAGAGATAAAGTATGTGGCAGAAGTCCTCAGGCACTTGCTCTTGGCCTTGTCTCTATTGCTCCTTTTTTCTCCAAAGGCAATGTTCTCACTTCTCACGAGTTCAAGGCAGTTATTCCGGCATGTCCCAGGTTCGGAGAGAAAATTTATTGACAGTATTTATATTCCGCCCTTCTCACCCGAAAGGGGACTCAGGGAAGATCACAGAACACATATACGGCAAACATTAAATGTTGATTATACAATGACAAGACAGACAATAGATAAAGGTGTATACACACACACACACACACACACAAGGGTTGAATGAAAAGTAATGCCTCGACCTTCATTACTTGGGTTTGGATGGGAATATTTTAATGAATCAAATGCCGAAATAATCCTTAGAATGTGCTCTTGAACTACCACTATTCACTTTTCCACATAATCACCAGACAATTGGATACATTTCTGCCAACAATGAACAACCACTATTTGCTTTTCCACATAATCACCAGACAATTGGATACATTTCTGCCGACCATGAAGAAGTTTTCTGAAGCGGTCGCAAAAGAAGTCGACACTCTGTTTCCGCAACCAGCGTCTCACGGTTCTCTCAACCACTATTCACTTTTTCACATAATCACCAGACAATTGGATACATTTCTGCCAACGATGGACAAGTTTTCTGAAGCCGTCGCGGAAGAAGTCGACACTTTGTTTCCGCAATGAGCGTCTCAGGGTTCTCTCAACAACTTTATCAGAAGCATAATGCTGTCCCCGCAGATCTTCTTTCATGACCAGGAACAGGTGGTGCTAAATCTGGACTGTATGGAAGATGCCGTACGGTGGTGAGATCCAGTCTCTGAAGTTCTGCTATGTACCCATCACGCACAGATCTTCCGATAGCCAAGCAAAGCAATAATGTGACCCACACGTTCTTGTGAAATGCAGATTATGCTTGAAATTTCTCTCTGAGTGATACGACGATTTTCCTGAATCAATCTGTCAATCTTTTGCTCGTGAAACTCAGTGGTTACTGTCACAGGACATCCAACAAGTCAGATGTTCCCACCTCAACATCTTTAAACTTATTCACCCAACGACGCACTGTACTCACATCAACACAATTGCCATAAACAGCTTTCATTCTCTGATGAATTTCCTTTGGGGTGACGCTTTCTGCTCTCAAGAATTCAATGACCGACCGCCTGCACTTTAACAACCAACCGTTCAATGCTAAGGCTTCCCGCTAAAATGGAACTGTACAGGTGAGTCTACTGAACAAGCCAGTACCTGCCACACACCAGAGGAGTTACCAAGGTGGAGGCATTACTTTTCATTCAACCTGTGTGTGTGTGTGGGCTGTGCTCAGTTCTGGCCACGGGGTGTCGCTCATCTCTTTGCCGAAGAGATTCCTTTATTCGTCAACTTTTCTGATCGAAACGCCTTTTTATACCACATGTCCATTAGAACTGTATTTGTAATACAATGGGGTTACATGCAATGCATTTCTATCTAGTACAGAATGTTCTACCTGACAGACATCCCTTGATCCCTCATCCAAAATAGTCCTTTGCTTTCTCTGCTATCCACACAAACTTTGTTTCATGCACAGACCCATTTTGCAGATATTGTAGGAAAATCACCCCCAGGCTATTCATAGAATCCTAGAATCAAAGAGTTGGAAGAGACCTCCTGGGCCATCTAGTCCAACCCCATTCTGCCAAGAAGCAGGAATATTGCATTCAAGGCACCCCTGACAGATGGCTATCCAGCCTCTGTTTCAAAGCTTCCAAAGAAGGAGCCTCCACCACACTCCCTCTGGGGCAGAGAGTTCCTCTGCTGAACGGCTCTTACAGTCAGGAAGTTCTTCCTCGTGTTCAGGTGGAATCTCCTTTCTTGTAGTTTGAAGCCATTATTCCCTTGCGTCCTAGTCTCCGGGGAAGCAGAAAACAAGCTTGCTCCCTCCTCCTCCCTGTGGCTTCCTCTCACATATTTATACATGGCTCTCATCATGCCTCCTCTCAGCCTTCTCTTCTTCAGGCTAAACATGCCCAGCTCCTTAAGCCGCTCCTCATAGGGCTTGTTCTCCAGACCCTTGATCATTTTAGTCGCCCTCCTCTGGACACATTCCAGCTTGTCAATATCTCTCTTGAATTGTGGTGCCCAGAATTGGACACAATATTCCAGATAACGTGGTCTAACCAAAGCGGAATAGGGCATGGGGAGCATGACTTCCCTGGATCTAGACACTAGGCTCCTATTGATGCAGGCCAACATCCCATTGGCTTTTTTTGCCGCAACATCACATTCCTGGCTCATGCTTAACTTGTTGTCCACGAGGACTCCAAGATCTTTTTCACACGTGCTGCTCTCGAACCAGGCAGGTTAGATTCAAGGCAGGTTAGATTCAGAGTTTGGGGTTTTTACTCTGAACCTGGAGGCTCAGGTATCAGCAGTGACTAAGAGTGCTTTTGAGGAGTATTGCAAAGGCTCTGACACAAGCCAGTCAAGGTGGTCCCAATGGTGATCGGCACACTGGACACAGTGCCTAAAGACCTTGGCCTGTACTTAAAGACAATCAGTGCTGACAAAATTGCCATCTGCCCGCTGCAAAAGGCCACTCTACTCCGATCTGCACACATTATTCACCAATACATCACACAGTCCTAATAATAATAATAATAATAATAATAATAATTTTTGCCAAATTGACAAAAGAAAAAACATGGATGTGGCTCACAAATGGAACTGTGTAAAAAGAGACGGAGGACCTGATTCTGGGGCAGCCCAAGAACAAGGCATTCGAACCAAGGCCATCAAAGCCAGAATTGAAAAGTCGACAACATATTCCTATCAAGTGTGTATGAAGCAAGAGCAAAATGTATACTTAGGATCAGGCCCCTTACAGGTATTCTAAAAATTTATTTATTTATTCACGATATTTCTATGCCGCCCTTCTCACCCCAAAGGGGACTCAGAGCAGCTTACAAGGTATTATATCATATTATTAGCATAGTACACTATTGTTGTTGTTATTATTATTTTTATATTAAGGGAAGTGTCTGACGTGTGATCCAATACAACAGCCAGCATACTGACCTTGTCTGCTGTGTACTAATCTTGTTATATTTCAAATAATTATGATTAGTAGTAATAATATTTATTTATTTACGACATTTATATGCCACCTTTCTCACCCCAAAGGGGACTCTGTTGTAGTAGAGTCTGTTGGAAACACTACTAATGCTAGTATGAGTGGCAGAAGAGGGAAAAGGTGTGCTCAGGAGTTAGACGAGGAACAAGAGAGGAAGAGAATTCGGGAAATACTCATGTCACCCACTGATGAAGATTCCTTCGAGAGGTTTTCTGAAAGCGAGATGAGTGAGGAGGAGGAAGGAGATGCAATGGGTGTAAAACAGGGGAACTAAGAGGTCTACTCGAGAGTCGGGGTCTGATGAGGAGTATCAAAGAAGTTCTGGGACATACTTACCGCTCCCATTGAGGAAGACGATTTCATGGGTTTCCCTGGGAGTGACGGGTCTGGGAGTGATGGGGAGGAGGATGAGGCACTAGATTGGTTTAAGGTACAAGAAGTTTGAGATGTGTGTACTCGGCCAACATCCAGTGACACATTTGCGGGGTTTTCTGGTGGTGGGGATTGGCAATCGGGGGATACTGTTGAATCATGGGGAGACCTAAGTCTTGACAAGAGGTGGAAGAGTTGGAGGGATGGGTGTTGGCGTTCAGCTGTAGAGGCTAAGCCAGCTGAGAGTGATGAGGAAGGGGTGGAGGGCAGCTCATCATCGGATGATGAGCTGTAAGATAAACGAAGGCACTGGGGTGATAGAACTTTGCAGTAGGCAAAGTGTTGGTTTCATGCCTTGGGTTCTGTCGCTTTTCTTGTTGGGCTTGGGTCCTGGATCTGCAGGTTGCTGCTTGCTTCGTGTACCGACTGGCTTGGATTCTTGTAAGTGCGGATTTCCCCTCTCCTTGACTTCGGACTGTTTTTGATGACGACGCTGCCTTGTGGACTTTGGAACTTTCAACTGGGATTCCTTTGATTTTGGACTGCTACTGGACAACGACTTCTCTTCACGGTTCTTTGTTTGCTTGTTTTCTTTGAACTTTGAAATTTTGGTGTGTTTTGTACGAACTCTTGTTTTTTGCCAGTTTAATCTGGTTTATTTTCTGAGTTCGTTTTTCTAGCTGGAAATTGCTACAAACTTTGAGTTTTGACCAGAGGCACTCACTGAAGCAAGTGTCTCTGAGTCATGTTTACTTTGCTTTAATCAACCATTGTTCTGGATATACTCCTGTGTCTGGCTCTTTAAGGCACCTGGGTTCCGACAGAATATGTCACATTGTCTGACCATCGTCTCATTGGTTTCGTCTCTGGTTGGATCCAGACCGATTTAGGACTAGCCAGAAAAGTGAACTAAACCTTGAACCAAATTCTTGCATCCATTGCAAAACAGAATTGACGTTCTTTGGGTACTTTTCTGGAAGCAACCCTTTCATTACCATGCCGTTCTGGAATGCAAGCGATCTCAGTTAGCATTGTACCTCGGATTGCGAAACTCGTGATATTCTACTCACAATGGAAATCTCAATGAGGGGCTTCCCCCATTTCTGCAATACGTGTCTTTTGTCTTTTTTCCTGGAAGAATGGCCAAATGCAACACTCCTTATTTGCTTCATCTCGTCTCCTGATCCCCATCTGTCACCTGTGTGCAAACAGTCTTTTCCTTTCCAAATGCTTATTGTTTGAACTGCGAGGTGGTGAATTTCCTCATCCGGAACCCTAATAAAAGCAGGACAACAGACACCGAACGAAGCAGAAGACCGAGCGAAGGAAGAGAGACACTGAAAAGGTGAGCCAGCAAATCCTGGATTTGCAAAGATTGACAGAAGTGCAACTGCAGTATCCGACGGCAAGTGAGGGCTACTACTAACGTCAGAGGCAGCCATAGGTAATTTTCAACGGTAAGCAAACAGTAGTTTGGTGCGCCGCCAACCAATCATCGATATATATTTTCTGTTCGTCATGGGAGTTCTGTGTGCCACGTTTGGTTCAATTCCATCCTTGGTGGAGTTCAGAATGTTCTTTGATTGTAGGTGAACTATACATCCCAGTAACTACAACTCGCATATGTCAAGGTGTATTTCCCCCTAAGAGCGCCTCAAGAGCGCCCCTGGGCAACATCAACTCTACCGCAAATGCTTACTTTGCGTAATGGCTTGAGTCGCCACTGACTAGCGTCAGGTGTTCCGATGCCATATATTTTCTCTCTGCAAAATTGAAGAGCGTACAACGATCCATTCCTTATGTCGATCCTTCTGGTTTCATCCGCAGGTTGTCCGTGAGGATGCTGCTGCTTTTTCTGCTTGCGTCCTTGTCTCTCCTCTCAAAGGCGGAAGCAAACGGTAAGTACCTTCAGGAGGAATAGGTGGGCCTATCTCAACAGGGGCACACTTGGGGACCACAAAGAAAGGCCTAAGGAAACAAAACCCAAATGTTTTCCTTCTCACTGGGTGAGATTTACTGCAGTTTTCCATTCGTTTTCCCATTTAGGGAATTGTTTGTGGTAACTGTCGGGTGGTTTTTTGCCACTCTTTCCATCTTCCTCCTTCCACCTTCCTCCTTCTATCTTTCATATTTCTCTTTCCATCTTTCTCCTTCCATCTCCCCCCTTCATTCTTCTGTCTTCCTCCTTCATTCTTCCCCCTTCTATCTTCTTCCTTCCATTTCCTCCTTCATTCTTTCATCTTCCTCCATTCTTCCACCTTCCCCTTCCATCTTCCTCCTTAATTCTTCCTCTTTTATCTCCCTTCTTCCATCTTTCTCCTTCATTCTTCCATCTTCCTCCACCTTCTTTCACTCTTCCTCCTTCCATCTTCCTCTTTGCATTTTTCACCTTCCTCCTTCATTCTTCTATCTTCCTTCTTCAATCTTCCATCTTCATCCTTCAATCTTCTACCTTCTTCATTCTTCTATCTTCCTCCTTTCACCTTCCTTCTTCTGTCTTCCTCCTTCCATCTTCCATCATCCATCTTCCTCCTTGATTATTCCCCTTCCCCCTTGTATCTTCCTCCTTCCATCTTCCTCCTTTCATTTATCACCTTCCACCTTCCTCCTTCATTCTTCCATCTTACTCCTTCATGCTTCCTCCATCCACCTTCAATCTGCCATCTTCCTTCTTCCATCTTCCTCCTTCATTCTTCCCCCTTCTTCCTCCTTCCTTTCTTCCATTTCCTCCTTCATTCTTCCATCTTCCTCCATTCTTCCACATTCCCCTTCCATCTTTCTTCTTCCTTTTTCCATCTTCCTCCTTCATTCTTCCCCCTTCCCCTTTTATCTTCCTTCTTCCACCTTCCTCCTTCATTCTTCCATCTTCCTCCTTCATCTTCTTTCACTCTTCCTCCTTCCATCTTCATTCTTCCGTCTTCCTCTTTTCATTTTTCACCTTCCTCCTCCATTCTTCTGTTTTCCTCCTTCAATCTTCCATCTTCATCCTTCAATCTTCTACCTTCTTCATTCTTCCATCTTCCTCCTTTCACTTTCCTTCTTCTATCTTCCTCCTTCCATCTTCCATCTTCCTCCTTGATTATTCCACCTTTCCCCTTGTATCTTCCTCCTTCCATCTTCCATCTTGCTCCTTCATTCTTCCTCCTTCCACCTTCAATCTGCCATCTTTCTCCTTCTCTCTTCCATCTTTCTTCTTCCACCATCCTTCAATCTTCCCCTTTCTGTCTGTCTGTCTTTTTTCTTTCTTTCTGCTTTTGGGGGGAAAAGGACATTTCTTTGCATAATAATTACTTTTGGCCCAAAACTCCCCAACATCATTTTGATAGGATGTTTTGAGTCCGGAAAAGCAACAGATGAGCCGACTCCACTTTTAGCATGAAATCTGATATTTAAATTGGGCTATCGTGTCCCTTCTTTGCCTTCTCTGTGTTCATTCCAATGCCCTCTCTTCTATTCACAGACTGCCAGAGTTGCCTCGATGGAGTGAAGCAGGATGTCCTCAATATCCTGATGAAGTGGGACAGTTACTCCTCCTCCTCCTCCTCTTCTCCCAACCCAATTCCCCGGAGCTGCAAAGACATCAAGAATGCCAACCAAGCGGCCAAAGGTGAGCAAAGGTGAGCTTTCGGACCCACAGGATCCGAAAGCTGGGAAGGGGATGCAGGGGCTGCGAGTTGATTCTCCTGCCAACGTGGGAAAACTCAGCGCTAAAGTCATCCTGCGAATTGCATCTCTAAGCATGAAAGAGTCCCTCTTCTGCATACTAGCTCTTACTTTCTTCAACATATTCCTGTATGATTTATCTGAGGCTTTAGCGTTGGTGAATGGTCATAGTCCCAAGCTCCATTCTACAAGTTCCCTTACTCTTTCTATGCAGATGATACTGTGTTATTGTCCTTATCTAGTATTGGCCTTAAATGCTAAATTCATTGCTTTGCCAAGGACTGTGAAATAAATAGACTAGAAATTAGCTATGTTAAATCCAAAATTCTTATTTTTGCCCAAAAGTGGAAACCCATGTCTTGGCAGATCAGGGGCCACCAAACTGAACAGATCCAATATTTCTGATAGCTTAGTATTTGCTATAGGTATAACCTGTCATCAGGGGCGGCTCAAGGCAGTATGCAAATTACGCTTTTGAGTAGAGCGCATGTCTCGGGGGGCGGTGTACGTCCCTCTCCCGGCGTTAGGAAGTCCGCGGGGAAGGAGGGGTGATGCAGGGTGCGCACTTCCTAACGCCAGGAGAGGGACGCACACTGGTGTTGCCAGGTGCTCAGGAAAAGAGGCCTCATGCAGGGAGCATGCCTTCCTCCCCAGGCTGGGCTCCCAAGCCTGGTGCCCAGCCTGGTGAGGAAGGCGCACAGAGCAACGGAAGGGCGAGGGGAAAGCTGCCGAAGCCTTCTTTGGCAGTGCCCTCCTCCTTGCTTCTCCGTTGCTCCATGCCTTCTTCGCCAGGTTGCTCCATGCCTTCTTCGCCAGGTTGCTCCATGCCTTCTTCTCCAGGTTGCTCCATGCCTTCTTCACCCTGCCTGGCGAGGAAGGCGCATAGAGCAGTAGAGGGGCGAGGGGGAAGCTGCCGAAGCCTTCTTTGGCAGTGCCCTCCTCCTTGCTTCTCCGTTGCTCCATGCCTTAAAGTTTCCCTTCCTCGCCAGGCTGGGCTCCCAAGCCTGGCGCCCAGCCTGGCAAGGAAGGAGCGCGGAGCAGCAGAGGGGGAAGCTGCTACCGCTGAGGTTCTCTTCATGCCTCAAAGGAGTGTGTGTGTGTATATATACACATACATACACACACACACACACTTCCACTATCAAAGGAGTGGTGGGGGGTGCAAAATTGAGTGGTTTGAGGGGGCGCCAAAATGATTGGTGGGGGGGAGTGCCAAAGTTCTGTTTGCTTACCCCTGAAAATTACCTAGGGTCATCCCTGTCTGTCGTGGCTCTCATAGTGTGGCTTCTGCACATACCTATATGTTTCTTCTATAGTAAGGGTAACCAATATATCCCTGCTGCCCTCAAGGTTTTTGAGATGGGTCAAATCATTCTTGAGACCAGGGGCGGCTGAAGCAATAGGAAAGTTATGCACTTGCATAGAGCGCTAGTCCCCAAGGGGTGGTCTTGGGTCACCCCCAGGGGTGAAGGGAATGCCTTGATGCGGCAAAAACGGTGTCAAAAAGCCTTCAGCGCTGGAGTGGACTGGATGGCCCACAAGGTCTCTTCCAACTCTAGGATTCTAAGAATCTCGTGATAGAACCGTGCCGGAAGACCGACGAAATGCCAAGAGAGATCATAGAATCATAGACTCCTAGAGTTGGAAGAGACCTGATGGGCCATCCAGTACAACCCCATTCTGCCAAGAAGCAGGAAAATTGCCTTCAAAGCACCCCAAACAGATGGCCACCCAGCCTCTGCTTCAAAACGAGCTGGTCCACTCACTAACCTTGCAACAACAACAACAACAACAACAACAACAACAACAACAACAAGCAGAGCCTTCGAGCCAGCTGGGGGAGATGGGGGCAAGGCCGACTGCAAGGGATGCTGGGAGATGTAGTGCCCACCTCCCATGGCATGGATGAGAGCTATACAATTCTGGCTACATATACATTTTCAAGCAGACAGGAATTCCATTTTTTCACAGCCTTCTCAATGGCAAGGATGTTATAAAATTCCATATCTTCTGAACAACTCTGATGCATTCCTTTGTGAGACGGTTGGAAATGTTATCCTTGAGATTAGGAACTTTGAAGTGTGTTTTCTTTTTATCTGTGATTTCCTCTTGTTGTATATTCCCACAATGTTGTTGTTGTATGCCAAGAAAGGTCGTATGTATCGATGAGCCCCTCTTCTGACCTCTCAAGTCCTTGTCTTGGGCAGACGGGCTGTACCTCCTGGCCACCGCAAACGGGGAGACCTACCAGACCTTCTGCGACATGACCACCAACGGAGGAGGCTGGACTTTAGTAGCCAGCATCCACGAGAACAACATCAATGGGAAATGCTCCGTCGGGGACCGCTGGTCCAGCCAAGAAGGCAGCAATGCCAACAACCCGGAAGGAGACGGCAACTGGGCCAACCGTGCCACCTTCGGCTCGGCCATCGGCTCGACGAGCGACGACTACAAGGTGAGCGCGATTTTCCTGCTTCTTGGCACGGGATGGCCCATGAGGTCTCTTCCAACTCTAAGAATCTCATGATAGAACCATGCCAGAAGACCGACGAAATGCCAGGAGAGATCATAGAATTGTAGACTCCTAGAGTTGGAAGAGACCTGATGAGTCATTCAGTCCAACCCCATTCTGCCAAGAAGCAGGAACATCCTGTCCTCCCAACCCTTGAGTCTGTTCAAGGACTTCCAAGTTGGCCACTCAACTGGGCAGTTGAGTCAGACAAGGCCAGGACTGATGTTCTTCTTGATTTTGGGTCTGCTCCCCATGTTCAAGGTCTCATCCTTCCATGGTGACGTTCAATGTCCTGTTGGCTTCACGGTTCTGTAGGTACAAAGCACACACTTGTGTCTTGGCAGGGTTAGGCTTCAGGTGGTTATCTTTGCCCGCTTGTCTTCCCAAGAGATTTACAGGATTTTCCAGAGGCAAAACCGATGGAATTGTTCCAGGAGTTGCATGTGATATATGTAGACAGTCCACGCCTCGCAGGTGTATAGCAGGGTTGGGAGGACAATAGCTTTATAAACAAGCCCCTTGGTCTCCCTACGGATGTCCCGGTCCTCAAACACTCTCTGCTTCATTTGGAAGAATGCTGCACTTGCAGAGCTCAGGCGGTGTTGAATTTCAGTGTCAGTGTTGCCGCCTGTAGACAGTCCACGTTTCGCAGGCGTATAGCAGGGTTGGGAGGACATGAGCTTTATAAGCAAGTCCCTTGGTCTCCCTACAGATGTCCTGGTCCTCAAACACTCTCTGCTTCATTCGGAAGAATGCTGCACTTGCAGAGCTCAGGCGGTGTTGAATTTCAGCGTCAGTGTTGCCGCATGTTTCGCAGGCGTTTGGCAGGCTTGGGAGGACAATAGCTTTATAAACAAGCACCTTGGTCTCCCTACGGATGTCCCGGTCCTCAAACACTCTCTGCTTCATTCGGAAGAATGCTGCACTTGCAGAGCTCAGGCGGTGCTGTATTTCAGTGTAAAATGTTGATGTCTGTAGGTGTATAGCAGGGTTGGGAGGACAATAGCTTTATAAACAAGCCCCTTGGTCTCCCTACAGATGTCCTGGTCCTCAAACACTCTCTGCTTCATTCGGAAGAATGCTGCACTTGCAGAGCTCAGGCGGTGTTGAATTTCAGCGTCAGTGTTGCCGCCTGTAGACAGTCCACGTTTCGCAGGCGTATAGCAGGGTTGGGAGGACATGAGCTTTATAAGCAAGTCCCTTGGTCTCCTACAGACGTCCTGGTCCTCAAACACTCTCTGCTTCATTCGGAAGAATGCTTCACTCGCAGAGCTCAGGCGGTGTTAAATTTCAGTGTCAGTGTTGACGTCTGTAGACGTCTGTAGACGTCTGTAGACAGTCCACGTTTCGCAGGCATATAGCAGGGTTGGGAGGACAATAGCTTTATCAACAAGCACCTTGGTCTCCCTACAGATGTCCCGGTCCTCAAACACTCTCTGCTTTATTTGTAAAAATAGTGCACACGCAGAGCTCAGGCAGTGTTGAATTTCAGTGTCAATGTTGACGTCTGTAGACAGTCCACGTTTCGCAGGTGTATAGCAGGGTTGGGAGGACAATAGCTTTATCAACAAGCCCCTTGGTCTCCCTATGGATATCCCGGTCCTCAAACACTCTCTGCTTTGTTCGGAAGAATGCTGCACTTGCAGAGCTCAGGCGGTGTTGTATTTCAGTGTCAGTGTTGACTGTTGTGCAATAAGCTGGAGTTCAATAACAGGTCTTAAGAGTAAAGATCTCGCTCCTGAGCTTCTACACAAAGCTTTAGCAACACTTATCAGTTCCAACTTCCTTCACTTTTCCTCCTCCTTGCTCTCTTCTTTCAACCCGTTCCTGAATCCACTCCTCCCTGTGAAATTCACCCGTTTCCTGGTCCCACCAGAAGGTATAACCACGTTCTGACACCTTTCTTTCCAGAACCCCGGCTATTACGATCTGTCAGCACAGGATGTGTCCGTCTGGCACGTTCCCAACAGAGCCGCCATGGAGACGTGGCGTGGCACCTCGCTCTTCCGATACCACACCGAAACGGGATTCCTGGCCAATTACGGAGGGAACCTTTTCAGGCTCTTCCAGGTGAAGAAATAGCAAAATATGGGGTCGAACCGGATGTGACAGATTTATAGAATAAAGAGCTGAATATACAGAAATTGTAATGTAATAGTACTAATATATTATACAAAGGTTGAATGAAAAGTAATGCCTCCACCTTCGTAACTCCTCAGCAGATGGCAGTACTGGTATGTGGCAGGTACTGGCTTGTTCAGTAGACTCTCCTCTACAGTTCCCATTTGGCTGGAACCCTTAGCATTGAACAGTTGTGTTATTAAAGTGTGACGTATGAGGGTTGAATAAAAAGTAATGCCTCCACCTTCGTAACTCCTCAACAGATGGCAGTACTGGTATGCGGCAGGTACTGGCTTGTTCAGTAGACTCTCCTCTACAGTTCCCATTTGGCTGGAACCCTTAGCATTGAACAGTTGTGTTATTAAAGTGTGACGTATGAGGGTTGAATAAAAAGTAATGCCTCCACCTTCGTAACTCCTCAACAGATGGCAGTACTGGTATGTGGCAGGTACTGGCTTGTTCAGTAGACTCTCCTCTACAGTTCCCATTTGGCTGGAACCCTTAGCATTGAACAGTTGTGTTATTAAAGTGTGACGTATGAGGGTTGAATAAAAAGTAATGCCTCCACCTTCGTAACTCCTCAACAGATGGCAGTACTGGTATGTGGCAGGTACTGGCTTGTTCAGTAGACTCTCCTCTACAGTTCCCATTTGGCTGGAACCCTTAGCATTGAACAGTTGTGTTATTAAAGTGTGACGTATGAGGGTTGAATAAAAAGTAATGCCTCCACCTTCGTAACTCCTCAACAGATGGCAGTACTGGTATGCGGCAGGTACTGGCTTGTTCAGTAGACTCTCCTCTACAGTTCCATTTGGCTGGAACCCTTAGCATTGAACAGTTGTGTTATTAAAGTGTGACGTATGAGGGTTGAATAAAAAGTAATGCCTCCACCTTCGTAACTCCTCAACAGATGGCAGTACTGGTATGCGGCAGGTACTGGCTTGTTCAGTAGACTCTCCTCTACAGTTCCATTTGGCAGGAAGCCTTAGCATTGAACGGTTGTGTTATTAAAGTGTGACGTATGAGGGTTGAATAAAAAGTAATGCCTCCACCTTCGTAACTCCTCAACAGATGGCAGTACTGGTATGTGGCAGGTACTGGCTTGTTCAGTAGACTCTCCTCTACAGTTCCCATTTGGCTGGAACCCTTAGCATTGAACAGTTGTGTTATTAAAGTGTGACGTATGAGGGTTGAATAAAAAGTAATGCCTCCACCTTCGTAACTCCTCAACAGATGGCAGTACTGGTATGCGGCAGGTACTGGCTTGTTCAGTAGACTCTCCTCTACAGTTTCCCATTTGGCTGGAACCCTTAGCATTGAACAGTTGTGTTATTAAAGTGTGACGTATGAGGGTTGAATAAAAAGTAATGCCTCCACCTTCGTAACTCCCAACAGATGGCAGTACTGGTATGCGGCAGGTACTGGCTTGTTCAGTAGACTCTCCTCTACAGTTCCCATTTGGCTGGAACCCTTAGCATTGAACAGTTGTGTTATTAAAGTGTGACGTATGAGGGTTGAATAAAAAGTAATGCCTCCACCTTCGTAACTCCTCAACAGATGGCAGTACTGGTATGCGGCAGGTACTGGCTTGTTCAGTAGACTCTCCTCTACAGTTCCCATTTGGCTGGAACCCTTAGCATTGAACAGTTGTGTTATTAAAGTGTGACGTATGAGGGTTGAATAAAAAGTAATGCCTCCACCTTCGTAACTCCTCAACAGATGGCAGTACTGGTATGCGGCAGGTACTGGCTTGTTCAGTAGACTCTCCTCTACAGTTCCATTTTGGCAGGAAGCCTTAGCATTGAACTGTTGTGTTGTGAAAGGTAATACCTCCACCTTTGTAACTCCTCAACAGATGGCAGTACTGGTATGCGGCAGGTACTGGCTTGTTCTGTAGACTCTCCTCTACAGTTCCATTTTGGTGGGAAGCCTTAGCATTGAATGGTTGTGTGGTTAAAGTGCGAAGAATGGAACCCTGTGTGGACGGTCGGTCAATGCGACTTAAGCAACGTGCAGTCATTGAATTCTTGAGAGTAGAGGGTGCCACCCCGAAGGAGATTCACCAGAGAATGCAAGCTGTTTGTGCTGATTGTGTTGATATGAGTACTGTGTGTCGTTGGGCGAGTAAGTTTAAGGATATTGAGGTGGGAACATCTGACTTGCATGACACAGGGTTGGACGTCCTCTGACAGCAACCACTGAGTTTCACAAGCAAAAGGTTGACAGATAGATTCAGGACGATCGTCGTATTACTAAGAGAGAAATTTCAAGCATAATCGGCATTTCACAAGAACGTGTGGGTCACATTATTGCTTTGCTTGGCTGTCGGAAGATCTGTGCACGATGGGTACCCAGGATGAGAGAACTGTGAGGTGCTGGTTGTGGAAACAGAGAGTCGACTTCTTCCATGACTGCTTCAGAAAACTTGTTCATCCTTAGCAGAAATGTATACAATTGTCTGGTGATTGTGTGGAGAAGTGAGTAGTGGTTGTTCATCGTCGGCGGAAATGTATCCAATTGTCTGGTGATTATGTGGAGAAGTGAATAGTGGTTGTTCATCGTTGGCGGAAATGTATCCAATTGTCTGGTGATTATGTGGAGAAGTGAATAGTGGTTGTTCGTCATTGGCGGAAATGTATCCAATTGTCTGGTGATTATGTGGAGAAGTGAATAGTGGTTGTTCATCGTTGGCGGAAATGTATCCAATTGTCTGGTGATTATGTGGAAAAGTGAATAGTGGTTGTTCATCCTTTTCGGAAATGTATCCAATTGTCTCGTGATTATGTGGAGAAGTGAATAGTGGTTGTTCATCGTTGTCAGAAATGTATCCAATTGTCTGGTGATTATGTGGAAAAGTGAATAGTGATTGAGAGAACTGTGAGACGCTGGTTGTGGAAACAGTGTCGACTTCTTCCGCAACGGCTTCAGAAAACTTGTTCTTTGTTGGAAGAAATATATCCAATTATCTGGTGGTTATGTGGAAAAGTAAATAGTGGTTGAAAGAACTGTGAGACGCTGGTTGTGGAAACAGAGTGTCGACTTCTTCCGTGACAGCTTCAGAAAACTTGTTCAATGTTGGCAGAAATGTATCCAATTGTCTGGTGATTATGTGGAAAAGTAAATAGTGGTTGAGAGAACTGTGAGATGCTGGTTGTGGAAACAGAGTATTGACTTCTTCAGAAAACTTGTTCACCATTGGCAGAAATGTATCCAGTTGTCTGGTGATTATGTGGAAAAGAGAATAGTGGTTGAGAGAACCGTGAGACGCTCATTGCGGAAACAGAGTGTTGACTTCTGCGACAGCTTCAGAAAACTTGTTCATTGTTGACAGAAATGTATCCAATTTTCTGGTGATTATGTGGAAAAGTGAATAGTGGTAGTTCAAGAGGACATTCTAAGGATTATTTCGGCATTTGATTTATTAAAATATTCCCATCCACACCCAAGTAACGAAGGTGGAGGCATTACTTTTCATTCAACCCTCGTATGTAATATTTTAGTATTATATATACTGATATAATAATATATAATGGTAATACTGTTTTATTACTGTATATGTGTATATTTTAAGTTGTAATGTTTTGAATTGTGAGCCGCTTTGAGTCTCTGTATGGAGAGATAAAGTGGGATATCAGTCAATCAATCAATCAATCAATCAATCAATGAGGGGGAGATCCTTGGAAGCCTTCCCTTTGTGGTCGTCATGTTGTCATGCGTGAAGAATAGTTAGAGCAAATGCAGACTATTGTATGTTGTGGCACCGGAGCCTAAAATTGTGATATTGATCTCTTTCCAGAAATACCCGGTGAAATACGGCATTGGGAGCTGCCCGCAAGATAACGGCCCGGCCGTACCGATCATCTTTGACGCTGGAAATGCTGAAAAGGCCGCCCGTTATTACTCTCCCAACGGACGTGGTGAGTCTCCCTCAGCAATATACAATCAACAACTCTGCTCACCGTATCGTGCCGTTAGGACAAAGGTGCAATTATTAGCAAGATGGATTTGTGTGTGTTGAGGGGGGTCCACTCATAACCATGTGAGTCACCATGGGGACATCTGCATCGTATTGAAAAACACTGGGTGACCAATGAACACCCCCCGGGCACAGGAAGTCTCCAGGCCATAAGCAATCAAGAGCGAGTGAGCACCACCCGGGTGAAGGAAGTCTCCAGGCAGCAAATATAATCATCCTATCCAATTATTCCATCTACCTACCTACCAGTCTCTTTCTCTCTCTATACCTCCTTCATCTGTCATCCTATCTATCTATCTATCTATCTATCTATCTATCTATCTATCTATCCATAGTTGGATGGAATAGTTGATAGATAGATAGATAGATAGATAGATAGATAGATAGATAGATAGATAGACAGACAGACAGACAGACAAACGATTGGATATAGGATGGTCATAAATCTATCTATAATCTATCTATGTATGATATTGTTGAAGGCTTATCTGTCTGATGACCATTTTATATCCTATCTATCCATCCATCCATCCATCCATCCATCTGTCCCATCCCACAATAAATAGATAGGTAGATAGATAGATAGATAGATAGATAGATAGATAGATAGATAGATAGATGGATGATTGGATATAGGATGGATATCTATCTATGTATGCATGTATCCGTCTATCCCATCCCACAATAGATAGATAGATGATTAGATATAGGATGGATATCTATCCATCCATCCATCTATCCATCCCACAATAGATAGATAGATGGATGGATGGATGATAGGATATAGGATGGATATCTATCTATCTATCTGAGTCACCTACGGGCTGAGAAAAGCGGTATAGAAATAAAGTAAATATCTATCTATCTATCTATCTATCTATCTATCTATCTATCTATCTATCTATCCATCCATCCCATCCCATCCCATCCCATCCCATCCCATCCCATCCCACAATAGATAGATAGATAGATAGATAGATAGATAGATAGATAGATAGATAGATAGAGATAGATAGATGATTGGATCTAGGATATCTATCTATCCATCCATCAATCCATCCCATCCCATCTCATCCCACAATAGATAGATAGATAGATAGATAGATAGATAGAGAGACAGGTGGATGGATAATTGGATATAGGATGGATATCTATCTATCTATCTATCTATCTATCTATCTAATGACCATCCTATATCCATCTATCTATCTATCTATCTATCTATCTATCTATCTATCTATCTATCAATCATTGGATGTGATGGACAGATGGAAGGATGGATAGATAGATAAAGATAGATAGATAGATGGATGATTAGATATAGGATGGTTATTGATCTATCTATCCAATGATTATCCTATATCCAATCATCTATTTATCTATATGATTATCATTCTATATCCAATCCTCTATCTGTCTGTCTGTCGGATGATCATCCTACATCCAATCATCTGTCTATCTATCTGTCTAGCACTGTCTATCTGTCTATCACTGGATGGACAGACAGAAGACAGACAAGATAGATAGATGGATGATTGGATATGGGATGGTTCTCGATCTATCTATCCAATGATCATCCTACATCCAATCATCTCTCTCTCTCTCTCTCTCTCTCTCTCTCTCTCTCTGGAAGGGATGGATGGATAGACAAATAGATAAATAAGATAGATAGATGGATGATTGGATGTGGGGTGGTTCTAGATCTATCTATCCAATGATCATCCTACATCCAATCTATCTATCTATCTATCTATCTATCTATCTATCTATCTATCTATCATCTATCTATCTATCTATCTATCTATCTATCTATCTATCATCTATCTATCGATTTATTTATTTATCTATCTATGTATCTATCTATCACTTGAAGGGATGGATGGATGGATGGATGGATGGAGAGATAAATAAGATAGATGGATGGATGATTGGATATGGGATGGTTCTCGATCTATCTATCCAGTGATCATCCTACATCCAATCATCCATCCATCTATCTATCTATCTATCTATCTATCACTTGAAGGGATGGATGGATGGATGGAGAGATAAATAAGATAGATGGCTGGATGATTGGATATGATTGGATACGGAATGGTTCTCGATCTATCTATCCAATGATCATCCTACATCCAATCATCTGTCTATCATCTATCTGTCTGTCTGTCTGTCTGTCTGTCTGTCTATCTATCTATCTCTGGAAGGGATGGATGGATAGACAGATAAATAAGATAGATAGATGGATGATTGGATATGGGATGGTTCTCGATCTATCTAATGATCATCCTATATATCCAATCATCTGATTATCATTCTATATCCCTAACAACACCCACTCCCTAAACTGGTTTTCCTCTTTCTCCCATGTCCGCAGCGGAGGCCGAGCCTGGCTTCATCCATTTCCGAGTCTTCAATTACGAGAAGGCCGCCATGGCTTTCTGCTCCGGGATGAAAGCCAAAGGATGTCACTCCGAACACGTGAGTATCCCGAAGATTGTTATGTATGGAAAGAATGACGTTCCCATAGAAGACCTGCTCAATGAGTTGTTGGAATAATAAAACCCACCCAAAGATCTATTTTTTCTCGCAGGCCGATCCATAATAATTTCAAAGTCACTATATTTTAATCATTATTCTGTGTCTTTCGTAGAAATACATTTCCATAGATTTATTTTGGATAATGATGGATGTCCTTCCCACAAAAACAAAGTTTGTGTATTTTAATAAACATTTTCCATGTTTTGATGATGGAGCCAATTAGGAAACAATGACATTTATAACACTGGAAGAAAAATTGTGATACAGAGTGTTATGTGTTTTAGTTATGTTGTAATAATAATAATAATAATAATAATAATAATAATAATAATAAATAGAGATAGTTAGCTGGGCCCTGTTAAATAATAATAATAATAATAATAATAATAATAATAATAATAATAATGAGATAGCACACCCCTGTTAATAACTAATAATAATAATAATAATAATAATAATAATAATAATAATAATAAATAGAGATAGTTAGCTGGGCCCTGTTAAATAATAATAATAATAATAATAATAATAATAATAATAATAATAATGAGATAGCACACCCCTGTTAATAACTAATAATAATAATAATAATAATAATAATAATAATAATAATAATAAGGATCTGTTTAAATAATAATAATAATAATAATAATAATAATAAAGACTGGTTTAAATAACTAATAATAATAATAATAATAATAATAATAATAATAATAATAGAGATAGTTAGCTGGGCCCTGTTAAATAATAATAATAATAATAATAATAATAATAATAATAATGAGATAGCACACCCCTGTTAATAACTAATAATAATAATAATAATAATAATAATAATAATAATAGAGATAGTTAGCTGGGCCCTGTTAAATAATAATAATAATAATAATAATAATAATAATAATAATAATAATGAGATAGCACACCCCTGTTAATAACTAATAATAATAATAATAATAATAATAATAATAATAATAATGTATATTATATATATCACACAGTCCTAGGCGCTTGGGAAGTGTTCGACTTGTCATTTTGTGATACGAAATCCAGCATATAGATCTCATTTGCTATGACATACTGTAGTTTTGTGTCAGTAAAATAATAATATAGATATATTATTATAGTGGGCCCTGTTACATAATTTATATAATATAATAATAGAGATAGTTAGATAGCTGGGCCCTATTAATAAATAATAATAATAATAATAATGTATATATAATAATAATGTATATAATAATAATAGAGATAAATAGGTGGGTCCAGTTAATAAATCATAATCTATATAATACTCATAATAATAGGGATAGTTAGATAGTTGGGTCCTATTAATAAATAAAAATAATAATAATGTATATAATAATAATAATAATAATAATAATAATAATAATAATAATACAGTATATGTAATAATAATAGAGATAAATAGGTGGGCCCTGTTAATAAATCATAATTTATATAATACTTATAATAATAGAGATAGTTAGATAGTTGGGCCCTGTTAATAAATGATAAAAAATAATGTATATAATAATAATAATAATAATAATGTATATAATAATAGAGATAAATAGGTGGGTCCAGTTAATAAATCATAATCTATATAATACTCATAATAATAGGGATAGTTAGATAGTTGGGTCCTATTAATAAATAAAAAAAAAAATAATGTATATAATAATAATAATAATAATAATACTAATAATAATAATACAGTATATGTAATAATAATAGAGATAAATAGGTGGGCCCTGTTAATAAATCATAATTTATATAATACTACTAATAATAGAGATAGATAGTTGCACCCTATTAATTAATAATAATAATAATAATAATAATAATAATAATAATAATATAGTTGGGCCCTGTTAATAAATGATGATGATGATGATGATGATGATGAGGAGGAGGATAATAATAGAAATTTCAGTCTAACCAACAGGAGAGAAAGAAATAGGTCTATTCCTTGCCAACTAACTAACCTCCTCGTTGAGGACTGGAAACTTGTGCAGGATGTAGTCGAGTCCCAATTGGAAGGCGATTTCCTCATTCCTTCTCCTATCTGTTTGTTTCTTTCTGCTAGACCTGTATTGGCGGAGGGGGCTTCTTCCCTGAAGGGTCGCCCCGCCAGTGCGGAGACTTTACTGGTTTCGACTGGGACGGCTACGGGACCCACAGTGGATGGAGCGTCGCCAAGGAGCTCCTCGAGTCCTCCATCTTGCTCTTCTACCGATGATATGAGTGAAGAAATGCGGGAAATCAAGAAGACGCAAAGCTTTTCGAACAATGTGGGCCTTCCCCTGAGGTGATTTGGACTCCAACTCCCAAATCACCTCAGGAGAAGGCCGAAGTTGACCTAGGCCTGTCCATGAAAATAATACAACACAATAATAATAATAATAATCCGATTCCAAGTCTATGGTGTTTGTTCTCTCTTGTTATTCTGATGAGTGTGATTACTTTTTGTAAATTTCAGGTGTGTCCTTTTCTATTTAGTACGGCGTACCTTCCTCTGAGAAGGAAATAAGGAAGGGGGAAAAGGGCGGGAAAAGAAGCATGAGGCAAAATGGCCGCCAGGAGTTCTCTTGAGGCAAAATGGCGGATGGGTATTTCAAAGTAGGCAAAATAGTAGGAAAGAAGCAAAACAGCGGATAGGAGTTTCCCTCAGGAGGCCAAGTGGCAGGAAGGAATGATGGATGGTGGCTGGACACTATCCTCAACAGACAAAATGGAAGGATTGGAATGAGGCAAAATGGCGGCCAGACAGTCTTCTCGGGAGGCAAAATGGCAGGATTGGAATGAGGCAAAATGGCGGCCGGACCGTCTCCTCAGGAGATAAATGACAGCCACTTCTCCTCAGCAAGCAAAATGGTGGATGGGATTTTTCCTCATGAGGCCAAATGGCAGGAAGGAAGCAAAATGGTGGCTGGGTGTCTCTCTCAGAAGACAAAATGACAGGAAAGAGGGAAGTTGGCTGCCAGACAATCTCCTTAGCAGGCAAAATGGCAGCTGGGAGTTCTCAGGAGGCAAAATGATGGATAGAAGTTTTTCTCTTGAGGGAAAATGGCCGATGGGAGTTCTCCCCAGGAAGGAAAATGGCAGCCAGGAGTTCTCTTCAGGAGATAAATGGCAGGAATGAGGCAAAATGGTGGGTGGGAGTTTTCTTCAACAGACAAATGGCAGATATTGAGGCAAGATGGCAGCCACGAGTTCCCCTAAGCAAACAAAATGGCAGATATTGAGGCAAAATGGTGGCCATGAGTTCCCCTAAGCAAACAAAATGGCAGATATTGAGGCAAAATGGCAGCTGGGAGTTCACCTCAAGAGGACACATGGCAGGAAGGAGGCAAAATGGGAGCCGGACAGTCTCCTCAGCAGGCAAAATGGCGGATAGGAGTTTTCAGAACACAAAATGGCAGGAATGAGGCAAAATGGCAGCCATGAGTTCCCCTAAGCAAACAAAATGGCAGATATTGAGGCTGTGAATTCTCCTCAGGAGACAAAATGGCAGCTGGGAGTTTTCAGGAGGCAAAATGATGGATAGAACTTTTTCTCTTGAGGGAAAATGACAAGAATGTGGCAAGACGGTCTTGAGGTAAAATGACAAATAGGAGTTCTCCTCAGGAAGGAAAATGGTGGCCAGGAGTTCTCTTCAGGAGGCCAAATGGCAGGAATGAGGCAAAATGGCGGATGGGAGTTTTCTTCAACAGAAAAATGGCAGATATTGAGGCAAAATGGCGGCCATGAGTTCCCCTAAGCAAACAAAATGGCAGATATTGAGGCAAAATGGCAGCTGGGAGTTCTCAGGAGGCAAAATGATGGATAGAACTTTTTCTCTTGAGGGAAAATGGCAAGAATGCAGCAAAATGGCAGCCGGACAGTCTCCTCAGCAGGTAAAATGGCGGCCAGGAGTTCTCTTCAGGAGATAAATGGCAGGAATAAGACAAAATGGCGGGTGGAAGTTTTCTTCAACAGAAAAATGGCAGATATTGAGGCAAAATGGCAGCCGAAAGTTCACCTGAAGAGGACAAATGGCAGGAAGGAGGCAAAACGGGTGCTGGACAGTCTCTTCAGCAGGGAAAATGGCAGATAGGAGTTTTCCTCAGGAGGGAAAATGGCAGCCAGGAGTTCTCCTCAGATGTGAAATGGCAGGAAGGAGGCAAAATGGTGGATGGGAGTTTATTTACTGTAATTTCCCCCCCCCCCCCCCCCGGGATGGAAAATGGCAGGAAGGAGGCAATAATGATATCTGAATGGAACTCTAGGTTCTGCCTTGACCCTTAGAAGCTTTGGAAACCCGTCTATTCATTTTTAAACCTTTTATTGTATTTTAACGTGCATACAGGTGGTAATAGTACCTTTATTTGTGTGAGGTACATTCCTAACTAGGCGGCAAGTTACCTGAAAGCGTGGATATGACTGCAATGCCATTAAATCACCTGACTTCCAGTCCCAAGTGTACCACCTGTGACGGCGGTGGGACCGAGAGCAGGGCCTCCCCGGAGGATCTTAATCTCCGTAGTGGTTCATAGAGGGAGATCCGTTCGCAGAGGCGACCCTAGGTAATTTTCAACGGTAAGCAAACAATATTTTGGCGCCCCCCACCCCAACCAATCACTGTTCGTCGTGGGAGTTCGGTGTGACATATTTCGCTCAATTCCATCATTGGTGGAGTTCAGAATGCTCTTTGATTGTAGGTGAACTATACATCCCAGGAACTACAACTCGCTTATGTCAAGGTCTATTTTCCCCCAAGAGCGCCTCAAGAGCGCCCCCAGGCAAAATCAACTCTACCACGAATGCTTACTTTGCGTAATGGGTTGAGCCGCCCTTGTCCGTTCGGACAGGCAAATCGGGCGGAGGCCGTTTCGTAGCAGCAGGTAGGAGAGACAATACCAAGAGCGAGCCTTTGTTTGGAGGTCAGAAAAGTATGTTTATTTCCAGCTGGGACTTTGGCGGGGACTCTCATCCAAAAGAAAACCAGAGTGAGGATAATGGCGTTGACTTTGCCTTTTATACCTCTTCAAATGCAGGCAAACAAAGAAACATGCTTCTACATACATTAACATTGTCTTTATGTCACTTTAGCATCATAGAAATATCAAATTCTATCTTCCAACACGCAAGAGGCATGTCTCTATAATTTTTTTCTAAGAGCAGTTTACAACTTACCCCAACCCATCAAGAGGCTTACTTCGACCTGTCAGGAGGGAGGGGGATAGGCTCCTTACTTATATCTGTTGGTACCTGGACTTCCTTATCTCTCCCCGCTGGAATGTTCACCCCCATCTTGCTGCGACTTCAGCATTCTTTCTGGCCTGTCAGCTTGCCTTTCTAATACAGAGAGAACTTGGTTTTTCTTACACGTCAGTGCTTCTAATGTACATACAATTTATGTATAAATAAATATCTACGGTATATTCTGGCGTATAAGACTACTTTTTAACCCAAGAAAACAATAGTCTTATATGCGGGAGTGGTCTTATACGCGGGAGTAGTCTTATGCATGGGAGTCATCTTATATGCGGGAGTAGTCTTATACGCCGGGAGTCATCTTACAGAGCGGGCGTTGAAACTTCCAATCCGGATTGGAGAAACCGTGGTTACTGCATATGGCGGGGGGAGCTCAAAAATGGCAGTGCCGTTTGCAGCGACGGTATGAAACCATTAAGGGCGACGCTGTACAAGTATGGTAAAAGAAAATCCATTCATCAGGATTCGTGGACTTAATGTGGTCCCGATGGTGAGGTGAAGGGGCGCCTCACTGGGAAGGTGTAAGTGAAGGGCGGAGCAAGCCGCTGGCGTCCGGAGCGCCCAGGGTATGAAAAATAGAGATAGAGTGGCTCTGGACCCAGAAAAACACACCTCTTTTACCTGTCCGACCCACCCTTGTATCCTATTACCGTACCTCCTCCTCTGCCTCTCAGATCCCGCTCCTAAAGAGTGCAATGAAGCGATGCAGGTAAGCATGTGCAAGATCTGAGAGGCAGAGAAGGAGGTACAGTAATAGAAAAATTACCATATTGAAATAAAATCTGATGCTTTTAAAAAAATTATTTGGTGTGTGTTGGAAGAAGGGTAATCTTATACGGCGAGTATATCCCAAACTCTATATTTTAACTGTAAAAGTTGGGGGTCGTCTTATATGCCCAGTTGTCTTATATGCCGGAATATACGGTATATTTCCAATATCTCCCCATCAGTTTAGGGCTTTATAGGCCAAAGCCAGCCCGTTGAATTGTGCTCGGTAGTAGATTGGCAGCCAGTGGAGCTGACGTAACAGGAGGGTGGTATGTTCCCTGTAAGCTGCTCCAGTTATTAACCTGGTTGCCTTTTGTTGGAAAATTTGGAGCTTCCGAACAGTCTTCAAAGGCAGCCCCACGTAGAGTGTGTTGCAGTAGTCTATCCAGGATGTAATGAGAGCATGGACCACCGTGGCCAAGTCTGGCTTCTCGAGGTACGGGCTCAGCGGGTGCACAAGTTTTAATTGTGTGAAATCCCCCCTAGCCACCGCCGCAACCTGGGATTCCAGGTTCAGCGATGAGTCCAGGAGGACCCCCAAGCTGCGAACCTGTGCCTTCACGGGGAGTGGAACCCCGTCCATCCAACACAGGCTGTAACCCTATGCCCTGCTCAGCCTTGCGGCTGACCAGGAGGACCTCTGTCTTGTCTGGATTCAACTTCAATTTGTTCGCCCTCATCCAGACTGTCACAACTGCCAAGCACTGCTCCAGGACTTGGACAGCCTCCTTATGGTTCAGGAGTTGGATGGCCTCCCCGAGTCCCTTTGGGGAGATAGAGTGGAATATAAATAAATAATTATTATTATTATTATTACTACTACTACTACTACTACTAGCCACCCCCTGCCACACGTTGCTGTGGCCCACATGGGGGTTGTGTGTGGGAAGTTTGGCCAAATTTTATCGTTGGTGGGATTCAGAATGCTCTGTGATTGTAGGTGAACTATAAATCCCAACAACTATAAATCCCAACAAAAACTGTTTTGAGTCCCCCTCAGGGTGGGAAAAGCGGTATACAAATACACTTTCGTTTATCGGACACTAGCCGTCCCCTGCCACGCGTTGCTGTGGCCCACATGGGGGTTCTGTGTGGGTGGTTTGGCCCAATTCTATCATTGGTGGGATTCAGAATGCTCTGTGATTGTAGGTGAACTATAAATCCCAGCAACTACAACTCCCAAATGTCAAGATTCTATTTTCCCCAAACTCCACCAGTGTTCACATTTGGGCATATTGAGTATTCGTGTAGAGTTTGGTCCAGATCCATCATTGTTCTCTGGCTGTAGGTGAACTACAACTCCCAAACCAAAAGACACCCTTCCAGTATTTTCTCTTGGTCACGGGAGAACTGTGTGCCAAGTTTGGTTCAATTCCATCGTTGGTGGGGTTCAGAATGCTCACCGATTGTAGGTGAACTATAAATCCCAGCAACTACAACTCCCAAATGACAAAATCAATTTATTTTGAGTGAAGGACATACATTGGGTTGTTAGGTGCCTCGTGTCCAAATTTGGTGTCAATTAATCCAGTGGTTTTTGAGTTCTGTTAATCCCACAAACAAACATGACATTTTTATTTATATAGATTATTATCAGGTGGGAAGGAGTGATAGAGTTGGACGTCATCTGCGTACAGATGGCATCGGACTCCAAAACTCCGGATGATCTCTCCCAACGGCTTCATGTAGATGTTGAGCAACGCGGGGGACCGCACAGGACAACGGCTGTGGGGCCGAGCAGGAGTCCCCCCGAAACAACTTCTGGGTACGACCCTCCAGGAAGGACTGGAGCCACTGCAGAACATCAGAGATTATGATGATGATTGTTGTTGCTGTTATGTTATGGAGATAGCGCCATAATTGCACAGTGTGGACGGACACGGGGCAAGCAAAACCACAGATTGTTGTTGTTATGTTTATTTGGATTCTCTGGTTGTGAATCGGGTTCCTGACAGTAAGGAGGAAGTGGGATGATAGAGCCGTAATTGCGCCATGTGCATTAGGTCTGTGACAATACGGAAGGAACCGGGCCTACATCTTACTGGGCGCAATGGCTTTCCAGGAAAGAGGTCAAGGAGAACCACTGGAAAGTCGGACGGGTCCGAAGGCAGGAGAGCGTTGCTGAATTCGGGGCAGCCTTCTTCTCCTGATACCATCGCTGGAGGTTGGCCATCTCACAATCGCACAACAGCGCCAGGTCTCTCAGGTCCAAGGACTGTAGGTGCTCCAAGGGCTGGAACAACGAAGTCGAGAGGGTCACCAAGGGGTTCCCGCTGAGGCTGAGATCGCGCAAGGAAGTCAAGCCATCGAAGGCCCACTCCGGAAGCATATGGAGGAGGTTGTCGGAGAGATCCAGCCTTTGCAAAGAGTATAAAGGTTGGAGGAGATGCTGGGGCACACTGCGGATTCTGTTGGAGCTCAGGTTGAGCCCCACCAGCTCCTCCAAACCCTGGAAGATGTTGAGGCACCTCTCCTCTCCCCAAACCTTTCCTAGGTTGTTATGGGAAAGGTCCAACACCCGGAGTTGGCGAGGCCCTTCCTTGAGCCAGAAGCATTGTCTGAACCCGTTGCTGGAGAGATTGAGCAAGCGCAAGTTGGGGATGCCTCCCAGTTGGCCCCAAATGCTTCCCAAGTTGATTAAGCGATTGGAAGAGAGGTCTAGGTGTGTCAAGGTCTTCCCGAGCCGCTCGATGCCCCAGACATCCCGGATCCGGTTCCGCCGCAGCGTCAGGCGGAGCAAAGACGGGAGATTTCCTGGTGGGATTTTCGAAAGTGAGTTGTCCTCGAGGTCGAGGGTCTCCAAGGCGTTGAGGCCTTCAAGAGCATTGTGTTGGATGGCTCCGATGTTGTTGGAGGCCAGAACGAGATGATGCAAAGGAGAAGGCCTCAAGGCCCGCAGGGACTCTTCGTACAATGCGCCGAGGAGATTCCCGGAGAGGTCGAGGACACGCAGCTCCTTCAGCCCAGCAAAGGCTCCATCTTGGATCTGGGCGATCTCGTTGGACCTCAAGAGCAGGACGTCGAGATCTGGGAAGGCCGAGAAAGAAGAGGAGACCAACTTGTTGAGGAAGCCGTTGGAGATGTCAAGGGAGGAGACGCCGCTGTGGCGCAATCCGGCGAAGGTGCTCGCCGAGATGTCTTTCAAGTTATGGAAGCCGAACCCGCTTCCCAAGGCCCCCGAGTGTTGCATCTTGAGGTTCAAGATTTCGGTGCCATTTATTTGTGTGAAGAATTGCTCCATTTTCTCCGCGTTCCAAGGATTGGAGGAGACGTCAAGCGTCCCCAACGTGATATTGAGGAAAGGGTTGCCACAGGACGGGGAACCAAGCAGCCGGTTGGAAGAGAGGTCCAAGATGTCCAAATGACGGCCCCGAAGATGTTGGAGGTCATCCCCACAAATGGTACTGATCTGGTTGAGCTTCAGCTGAAGAGTATCCAAGTTCCTCAACCCTTGGAACGTTGCGTCGGGCCTCAACCTACGAAGGCGGTTCCCGGACAGATCCAGGCGCTTCAGCGACACCAAATCCCGGAAATAACCCTTCTCCAGGATGCCTTCGTCCAAACCGTTGGCATCCAAGAGCAACACCTCCAGCTTGGAGAGGCCCCTCAAGGCGTCCAGGTGGAGGGTCAGGTTGCGATTGCCTCCAAGGTCCAGGAAGGTGATGCCTGGGACGTTGCGGAAAGCCCACTCTCCGACGAAGAAGGATCCCACGAACTGCCTCCCGAGAGACAGCATGAGGAGGGACGTCAAGGGCGGGAAGGAGGAGCTCACGATGGCGGAGATGGCATTGAAGTCCAAGAAGAGGACCTGGACGGAAGGGTCGACCTCTGGGATGGATTTGTGGTGCTGGAGTTGGCAATCAGAGGTCCGCAAGGAGTCGCCCGGGGCCCGGTAGCAGCGGGGAAGGACCTCCGCTGTGTGACCCACCAATGACGACAGAGCCACACAAAACACAACTGGAATCAAAAGAGAGAAAGGGAGATCCATCAGGGCCCTGCTCGTTTCCCAACTTATCTTCTTATCCATGGAAAAGGAAGACTCGGTCACTTCCGGGGAATGCGGGGAAAGACTCTGCTGCTCTCTAGTTGGCAACACTGGGCCAAATGGACCAAGGAGGAGGACAACATCACCCATCATGCCTGGATTCTAAAGCCAAGCCCTCCCCAAACGAGAAAGGAAGACCGGGGACATTCAGGGGTCTTGTCTGGAATCCTAAAGAGAGCAATGGCCGCCAGGGAGAGCCAATTTAGGGTTAGACAGAGCGATGCCCTGACTGTTCATGTCTTCAAGGAAGGAAGGAAAAGAAGGAGGAGGAGGAGGAGAGAAGGAGAAGAGAAAATTGAGAGGAGGATGAGAAGGGGAGGAGAAAGGAGAAGAAGGAAAAGAGAGGAGAAAGTGGAAAAGGTGAAGAGAAAGAGGATGGAGGAGAAGGAAGAGAGAAGGGAAGAAAAAAAGAAGAGGAGAAAAGAAGAAAAAGAGGAGACAAGAAGAAGAGAAGGGGAGAAGAAGGAAAGAAGACAAGGAGAGGAAGGGGACATGGATAAGAGATGAGTGGAAGAGAAGGAGGAGAGAAGGGGAAGAGCAAAAGGTAAGACATGGGAGAAGGAGAAGAGAAAGGAAGGAAGAAGGAAGAGAGATAAGAGAGGAAGGGGAGAAATAGAAAAGAAGAGAAGGAAAGAAGATGAGGAGAAGAGGGGAGAAGGAGGAGAGAAGGAGAAGAGGATGGGGAAAAGGAAGAGAGAAGGGGAGAAATTGAGAAGAAGGGGAGAAATTGAGAAGAAGGGGAGAAGGAGAATGGGAAAAAGCAAGCAGAAGGGGAGATGGAGGAAAGAAGAAAAAAGGGAAGACTATCAGAAGTAGGAGAAAAGAAAGTGGAGGAGGAGAAAAGAAGGGAAAGTGGAGGAGAGAAAGAGGAGGATGGGGAAAAGGAAGAGAGAAGGGGAAAATGTGGAGAAGAATGGAAGAAAGAAAGGAAGAAAAAGGAGAACTGGGGAAAGGAAGATGAAAAGAATGGGAGAAGGAAAAAGTGGAGGAGGAGAAGAGAAAGAGAAGAGGACGGGGAAGAGGAAAGGAAGGTGGGAAAAGGAGAAGGGGAGGAGAAAATAATAAAAAGAGAAAGAGAGGGGAAAGGGAGGAGAAGGGAAGAGAAGAAGGGGAGAAGGAGAAAGTGGAGGAGAGAAAGAAGAGAATGAGGAAAAAGAAAGAGWGGAGAAAAGGAGAAGAAGAAAAGGAGGAGGTGAGAAGAAGAGAAAGTAGAAAAGGAGGAAAGAGAAGAAGACGATGGGAGAAAGGAAGAAAGAAGAAGAGAAGAAGAAAAAGAGAAGGAGAGGAGAAAGGGAGWGGAAGGGAAGAGAAGAAGGGGAGAAGGAGAAAGTGGAGGAGAGAAGGAAGAGAATGAGGAAAAAGGACAAGAGGAGAAAAGGAGAAGAAAAGGAGGAGGAAGTGAGAAGAGAAAGTAGAAAAGGAGGAAAGAGAAGAAGACGATGGGGGAAAGGAAGAAAGAAGAAGAGAATAGAAGAAGGAGAGAAGAAGAGGAGAAATGGAGTAGAAGGGAGGAGAAGAAGGGGAGAAGGAGAAAATGGAGGAGAGAAAGAAGAGAATGAGGAAAAAGAACAAGAGGAGAAAAGGAGAAGAAAAAGGAGTAGGAGGTGAGAAGAAGAGAAAGTAGAAAAGGAGGAAAGAGAAGAAGACGATGGGGGCAAGGAAGAAAGAAGAGAATAGAAGAAGAAAAAGAGAAGGGAAAGAAGGGAGGAAGAAAGGAACAAGAGCCCAGGACACTTGACTCACCCTTCCAAGCCCCCGAACGTGGCCATCGTGGTCGCATCGTCCTCGTGTCCTTTGGCTCTTGTTTGGGAGCTGGTGAATCAACCCGGACGGGAAGGAGACAAGAGCGTTGCTGTGGAGCGTTGGCTCAAAGAGAGCGGCTCAAGGATTGCGCCACGGAGGAGTTCCCTCCCGGTTTGCGATTCCTCCCCTTTGCGTTTGGGTTCAGACGGGGCTTTGGCTTCTCTTGCATCACTGGGTTTGGAAGAGGAAATGTCAAGAGCGCTTCCTCCAGAAGAGCCATTAAAGGCATTCGGTCGTTTCCTGCCGTGTAGAGATGTTTCCCTCATGCTATATACATGCATACACACACATACATACACACATACATATATATACACACATACTAGCTTGGGGACCTCAAAAATACTATTTGAGAAGAGTATTGTTTGTCTGCACTCCAAGTTTAGTATAGATCCAATGTCAGGGGGTGGGGGTGAACTACAACTCCCATACGCAAGTCCCATAGTCCATTCTCCTCCAAACCGCACCAGGATGCATAGTGGGTCATGGGGGCTCGGCGTGCCAAGTTTCGTCGTGATCCGTCATTGGTGGGAGTTGCAGTGGTATCTGGAAGTGACTGAAGGTATTGCAAGTCCCATCATCCATCGTCCCACAAACCACACCAGGATGTATAGTGTGTTATGGGGGCTCAGCGTGCCAAGTTTCGTTGTGATCCGTCATTGCTGGGGGTTGCAGTGGTCTCAGGAAATGAGTGAAGGTATTGCAAGTCCCATCATCCATAGTCTATCGTCCCACAAACCAAACCAGGATGTATAGTGTGTTATGGAGTCTCATTGTGCCAAGTTTCGTCGTTATTCGTCATTGGTGGGGGTTACAGTGCTCTCAGGAAGTGAGTGAAGGCACTGCAAGTCCCATCATTCATGGTCTATCACCCACAAAGCACACCAGGACGTAGAGTGTGTTATGAGGTCTCCTTGTGCCAAGTTTCGTCGTGATCCGTCATTGGTGGGAGTTACAGCGCTCTCTGGAAGTGAGTGATGGTACTGCAAGTCCCATCATCCATAGTCCATCGTCCCACAAACCACACCAGGACATAGAGTGTGTCATTGGGGCTCGGTGTGCCAAGTTTTGTCATGATCTGTCATTGGTGTGGACTGCAGTGGATCTCAGGAAGTGAGTGAAGACACTGCAAGTCCCATCATCCATGGTCCATCATCCCACAAACCGCTCCAAGATGTAATGTGTGTCACGGGCTCGGTGTGCCGAGTTCCGTCATTATCCGTCATTGTTGGGAGTTGCAGTGGTCTTAGGAAGTGAGTGAAGGTACTGCAAGTCCTATCATTTATTTATTTACAGTATTTGTATACCTCTTTTCTCACCCCAAGGAGGACTCAAAGAGGTCCATCACCACACAAACCACACCAGGTCCCATCATCCATGGTCCATCACCCCACTATACACCAGGATGTATAGTGTGTTATGAAGTCTCATTGTGCCAAGTTTCGTCATGCTCTGTAATTGCTGTGGGTTGCAGTGGTCTCAGGAAGTGAGTGAAGGTACTGTAATTCCCATCATCCATTGTCCATCATCCAACAAACCACACCAGGACATATACTGTGTCATGGAGGCTCAGTGTGACAAGTTTCATCATGATCCGTCATTGGTGGGGGTTGCAGTGGTCTCAGGAAGTGAGTGAAGGTACTGTAATTCCCATCATCCATTGTCCATCATCCAACAAACCACACCAGGACGTATACTGTGTCATGGAGGCTCAGTGTGACAAGTTTCATCACGATCCGTCATTGGTGGGGGTTGCAGTGGTCTCAGGGAGTGAGTGAAGGTACTGCAAATCCCATCATCCATGGTCCATCATCCCACAAACCGTACCAGGATGTAGTATGTGTCATGGAGGCTCGGTGTGACAAGTTTCGTTGTGGTCCGTCATTGGTGGAGGTTACAGTTGTCTTAGGAAGTGAGTGAAGGTACTCCAAGTCCCATCATTTATTTATTTACAGTATTTGTTTTTCTCACCCCGAGGGGGACTCAATGCGGTCCATCACCACACAAACCACACCAGGTCCCATCATCCATGGTCCATCACCCCACAAACCACACCAGGATGTATAGTGTGTTATGGGGGCTCGGCGTGCCAAGTTTTGTCGTGATCCGTCACTGGTGTGGGTTGCAGTGGTCTCAGGAAATGAGTAAAGGCACTACAAGTCCCATCATCCATAGTCCATTGTCCCACAAACCACACCAGGATGTATTGTGAGCAATGAGGTCTTGTTGTGCCACGTTTTGCCGTGATCCATCATTGGTGTAGGTTGCAGTGGTCTCAGGAAATGAGTAAAGGCACTGCAAGTCCCATCATCCATTGTCCATCATCCCACAAACCACACCAGGATGTAGTGTGTCATGGAGGCTCAGCGTGCCAAGTTTCGTCATGCTCCGACATTGGTGTGGGTTGCAGTGGTAGTAGCAGTCCACCTGTTATGGGGTTAGGGTTTTGTCAAGTGATCCGTCATTGGTGTGGGTTGCAGTGGTCTCAGGAAATGAGTAAAGGCACTACAAGTCCCATCATCCATAGTCCATCGTCCCACAAACCACACCAGGATGCAGACGTCAGATACCGAAGGACTCGCCAAGACCCAAAACAGTGAAGTTAAATTATGCTTTATTTGTGCCACGCTTACTGGAAGACTCCAACGGAGGAGGCGAGAAGACGAGGAGGAGGAAGGGAAGGAAATGGAGGAGAGGAGGAGTAGGGGCTACCCGCGCTCGCAGATGACCTCGATGACGCTCTGCTCCATGGGGACGGGGTCCAGGCACCGGTGGGCCGCGCTGCCCACGATCTCGTCCAGCAGGAAGTGGACCAGGTTCTCGTCCGAGACGAAGCGCCACAGGTAGAGCTGCAGGTAGTAACAATCCACCTGGATCTGCTGAAGGCCGAAGCGGCCAAAGGTGCGCAGGCGCACGCACTCCAGGAAGGTCTTCAGGCTGATCTTGATGATCCCCGTCAGGACCGAGACCTGGGCCGTTCCCAAGGAGAGAAGAGAACCGGGCCATTAGTTAGCCCTTGGAAACTGAAATAACTGTCTCGGTTTTGCTGCGGCACTTGTCCACCCAGCAGAGCGATTTGGCCAAATAAACCTACATCTAGTGATAGGGGCCACGTAGGGCGAGAAACACCACCACCACCACAAGGAGAGAAGAGACCCTTGCCATTAATTAGCCCTTCCTTCCAGACTCTGAAGAATCTGGACTCTCCTCTAAGGGAAAGGAGGCTAGACTCCTCAGATGAGTACATCGAGTGATAGGGGAAACACCACCATCAGCACCACCACCACAACAACAACAAGGAGAGAAGAGACTTGTGCCATTAATTAGCCCTTTCCTTCCAGACTCTGAAGAATCTGGATTCTCCTCTAAGGGAAAGGGGGCTAGGACTCCTCAGATGAATACATCGAGTGATAGGGGCCACTTAGGGCCAGAAACACCACCATCACATCCACCACCACAACAAGGAGAGAAGAGGCCCATGCAATTAATTAGCCCTTTCCTTCCAGACTCTGAAGAATCTGGACTCTTCTCTAAGGGAAAGGGAGCTAGGACTCCTCAGCTGAATACATCAAGGGATAGGGGCCACGTAGGGCCAGAAACACCACCACCTCCACCACAACAACAAGGAGAGAAGAGACCCGTGCCATTAGTTAGCCCTTCCTTCCAGACTCTGAAGATTCTGGACTTTTAAGGGAAAGGGGGCTAGGACTCCTCAGCTGAAAACATCTAGTGATAGGAGCCAATTAGGGCCAGAAACAGAACAACAGAAAGAACAACAACAACAAGAAGAAGGAGAGAAGAGACAACAACAACAACAACAACAACAACAACAACGAGAGAAGAGACCCGAGCCATTAATTAGCCCTTTCCTTCCAGACTCCATGAGGAATCTGAACTCTCCTCTAAGGGAAAGGGGGTTAGGACTCCTCAGATGAATACATCGAGTGATAGGGGCCATGTAGGGCCAGAAACAACAACAACAACAACAACAACAACAACAACAACAACAACAACAACAACAACAAGGAGAGAAGAGACCCGTGTAATTAGCCCTTTCCTTCCAGACTCTGAAGAATGTGGACTCTCCTCTAAGGGAAAGGGGGCTAGGTCTCCTCAGATGAATACATCGAGTGATAGGAGCCACGTAGGGCCAGAAACACCACCTCCACCACCACCACCACAACAAGGAGAGAAGAAACCCATGCCATTAATTAGCCCTTCCTTCTAGACTCTGAAGAATCTCAAGTCTCTTCCAAGGGAAAGGGGGCTAGGATTCCTCAGATGAATACATCGAGTGATAAGGGCCATGTAGAGCCAGAAACACCACCACCACAACATCAACAACAACAACAACATTTTTGAATAGGAAAAACAATCAAATCTTATAAAGGAAAGATAGAGCTGAGCCTTTCACGAATTGGACCAAGCACACAGGACTGAATGCTGTTTCCGGAGAAACTTATATTATTTCATTCTTCCTTTGTTCTTGTTCTTTCATCCCTTCTTTCCATCCCCTCCTTCTTTCCCTCCTACAATTCTTCCCTTCTTCTTCCCTTCCTCCTCTCCCTTCCCTTCTTTCCCTCCCCTTCTTCCATTTGTTCTATCTTCCCTTCTTCTTCCTCTCTTTTCCATCTCCTTTCCCTCCTTCTTCCCTTCCCTTTCTCATTTCCCTTGTCTTCCTTCTCTTCCTTCCTTTCTTTCTCTTCCCTTCGTTCGTTATTTTTCCCGTTTCCTCCCTCCCTTGTTCTTTCTTTCCCCCCTTCCTTCTTTTTTCCTCCCTTCCTTCTTTTCCCCTCCTTCCTTACTTCCATCCTCTCCTTTTCCTCCTTCTCTTCCCTTTATTCTTTCTTCCCTTCCCTCCCTCTCTTCCCCTTCCCTCCCTTCCTTTTCCTTCGGCTTGGGGCTCACCTTGTTGAACTCCACAGGGCTGAAGATGTCGATGCGCTCCGAGAAGAGCTTCTGGATGTTGCTGAGCAGGTTGGTGTCCATGGGGGCACTGCAGAGAGAACAGGCAGGATGGGCTCAAGGGATTGTTTACGGTTTGCCAAATGACAGATCACTTCTAGAAGGAGCGCTGCACGTTCCCTTATTCTTATACACAGATGATGCTATGCTAGAACTGGGAAGCCCTGGCCCTTGAGCGCTCCAGTTGGAGGTCAGCTGTGACCAGCAGTGCTGTAGAATTTGAAGAGGCACAAATGGAGGGTGAAAGAGAGAAATGTGCCAAGAGGATATATGGAGGGTGAAATGTGCCAAGCCAACCCCGACCGGGACCGCCTTCCACCTGGAAACCGATGCCCTCACTGTGGGAGAAGATGCAGATCAAGAATAGGGCTCCACAGTCACCTACAGACCCACCCCCAGGATACTACACTTGGAGGACCATCATCCCCGGACTACGAGGGATTGCCTAAGTAAAGTAAGTATCTAGTATCAGTCTTAAACACTTAATGCATTGCTTTGCCAATTATTGCAAAATACGAATGTTGGAAGCTGAAATAACTGTCTCGGTTTTGTTGCGGCACTTGTCCACCCAGCAGAGCGATTTGGCCAAATAAACCTATTGAACGATCTCCTTGCTTCTAAGAAGAATGCAAGAGGAATGGGCTCCACGAACTCGACAACAGCGAGATCCTCAAGAGATGCCAATGTCTGTATTGCCCCTCCACCCGCATAGAAACCCATCCAGGTGAGTCTGCACCTGTCCCAGGTAAGCCTGACCTGGGGGTGTAGCTGGGAGCATAGCGACTCTGCTGCCGGGAACTGCTGTAGACGGAGAAGGTCCTCTTGCTGGAGTCGCTGCTCTGCGCCTTGCGGACCCCTTCCTCGTAGAGGAGACCCACCTGTTCGGGAAACGCACTGGTGGTTATGGATGAGGACAACAGCATTTCACAGAATTGCATAGTTGGAAGGGACCCCCAAAGGCCATCCAGCCCACCCCTCTTCTGCCATAAAGGAAGACGGAGTAAGTGGATGAATGAATGAAGGAACCAATCACAGAATCCCAGAGTCGGGAGGGACCCCCAAAGGCCATCCAGGCAAACTCCAGTCCAACATTCCAATCAAAGCCTTCCCAACAGATGGCCATTCAGTCTCAATATCAAATATCTCCTGACAAAAGGCCAGCCAGTCTCTGCTTATTATTAATCTCCTTTTGCCATAAAGACACAATGTGATCCCTCCTGACAGATGGTCATTCAGCCTCTGCTTAACAACAACAACAACAACCATACAATCCAAGATCTCAAGAGACATAAAACAACAACAACAGCAACAATAGAACCATATCATCCTAGAGTTGGAAAGAGACCCCAAGGGCCATCTAATAATAATAATAATAATAATAATAATAATAATAATAATAATAATAGAACCGTACAATCCAAGATCTCAAGGGCCATAAAACAACAACAATAATAATAATCCCTCCTGACAGATGGTCATTCGGCCTCTGCTTAACAACAATAACAACAATAGAACCATATCATCCTAGAGTTGGAAAGAGACCCCAAGGGCTATCTAATAATAATAATAATAATAATAATAATAATAATAATTGAACCATACCATCCAAGATCTCAAGGGACATAAAACAACAACAACAACAACAATAATAACGATGACAATACTAGTAGAACCATAGAATCCTGGAGTTGGAAGAACAATCCAGTGTAATTCCCTTCTGCTATGCAGAAAGGCACCATCCGATCCCTCCCAACAGGTGGGCACCCAGGTTCTGCTGCAAGGCTTCTGACCTGGACGTCGATGGCGGTGGCATCCTCCACCACGCGCTTCATGACGGCCCGGACATTGCGGGGCTCGATGGTGGCCACCCAGTCCCGCGTCTCCACGCTCTTGCGCAGCATCTGGGAGACCACCAGGCCTTGAACTTTCACGTAGTGGTTCAGCAGCTTCTGGGCGGCTTCGCGTGCCTCGGCACAAAGGGCCGTCACCGGGGTCACTGGCGAGTGGTCCTGCGAGAGAAGGCGGACAGGTCATCCTTGTCGCAAGGGTAGGAGAAGAGTAAAACACACACAACACTCCTGCGAGGTGGACATGTGAATCCCGTCCTATCACGGGATCTCCTCCAGGTGTGCAATGGGAAGGAGCCAGAGCTCCAGTGTGCTTATTCAAGGTCAGAAGCTGGGATATGAAATCTCTGTCCAACTGTGACCAAGACTCTGCAGTGTGCCTGCTTTTTGATATCTACAAATCTGTAAATAGTTGTATGTCTGAATGTCTGAAGCAACGTCTGAAGCACGTCTGAAGAATCAACCTCCAAAGGAGTTTAGATGGAAGCCAGAGCTCCAGTGTGCTTGTTCCAGGTCAAAGGCTGTGATATGAAATCTCTGTCCAACTGTAACCAAGACTCTGCAGTGTGCCTGCTTTTTGACATCTACAAATCTGTAAATAGTTGTATGTATCAACAGTGGAAGAATCAACCTCCAAAGGAGTTTGGATGGAACCCAGAGCTCAAGTGTGGTTATTCCAGGTCAAAGGCTGTGATATGAAATCTCTGTCCAACTGTAACCAAGACTCTGCAGTGTGCTTGCTCTCTGCCATCTGCAGACCTGTAAATAGTTGTATGTAGCAACATGTGAAGAATCAACCTCCAAAGGAATTCAGATGGAAGGCAGAGCTCAAGTGTGCTTATTTCAGGTCAGTGCCTGGGATCTAAAATCTCTGCTAACTATGACCAAGACTCTGCAGTGTTTTGGGGATCAGAACTAACCACTTGCCTATGAGAGTCTGTCCCATGGAGCAGCTAGAGGAGGATGTGAGAGGATGTCATTCACGTGCCTACCTCGCAGGGGTGTTGTGTGTGTTTTCTTATCTTCTCTACCGCTGATCTCTAACTTGGGGACTGCCTGTAGTATCTCTATGGGGGTCTCTTATGTTTATTTAGCCTAGTATCTCTATGGGGGTCTCTATGATCAACTTCCATCGGAAACTGATTACATAATAATAATAATAATAATAATAATAATAATAATAACACCTGCATTGTAATAACAATAATAAATGATCAGCCTAATAATAATAATAATAATAATAATAATAATAATAATAATAATAATAATAATAATAATAATACCGGCACTGTAATAACAACAAAAATAATAAATTATGTGCCTAATAATAATAATGATAATACCTGCATTGTAACAACAACAATAATAAATTATCAGCCTAATAATAATAATAATAATACCTGCATTGTAACAACAATAATAAATTATCTGACTAATAATAATAATAATAATAATAATAATAATACCTGCTTTGTTATAACAACAATAAATTATCAGCCTAATAATAATAATAATAATAATACCTGCATTGTAATAACAACAACAATAATAAATTATCAGCCTAATAATAATAATAATAATAATACCTGCATTGTAATAACAACAATAATAAATTATCAGCCTAATAATAATAATAATAATAATACCTGCATTGTAATAACAACAATAAATTATCAGCCTAATAATAATAATAATAATAATAATAATAATACCTGTATTGTAATAACAATAATAAATTATCAGCCTAATAATAATAATAATAATAATACCTGCATTGTAACAACAACAATAATAAATTATCAGCCTAATAATAATAATAATAATAATACCTGCATTGTAATAACAACAATAATAAATTATCTGACTAATAATAATAATAATAATAATACCTGCATTGTAACAACAATAATAAATTATCAGCCTAATAATAATAATAATAATAATAATACCTGCTTTGTTATAACAACAATAATAAATTATCAGCCTAATAATAATAATAATAATAATAATAATACCTGCATTGTAATAACAATAATAAATTATCAGCCTAATAATAATAATAATAATAATACCTGCATTGTAACAACAATAATAAATTATCAGCCTAATAATAATAATAATAATAATAATACCTGCATTGTAATAACAACAATAATAAATTATCAGCCTAATAATAATAATAATAATAATACCTGCATTGTAACAACAATAATAAATTATCAGCCTAATAATAATAATAATAATAATACCTGCATTGTAATAACAACAATAATAAATTATCAGCCTAATAATAATAATAATAATAATACCTGCATTGTAATAACAACAATAATAAATTATCAGCCTAATAATAATAATAATAATAATACCTGCATTGTAATAACAACAATAATAAATTATCAGCCTAATAATAATAATAATAATAATAATAATACCTGCATTGTAATAACAATAATAAATTATCAGCCTAATAATAATAATAATAATAATACCTGCATTGTAATAACAACAATAATAAATTATCAGCCTAATAATAATAATAATAATAATAATACCTGCATTGTAATAACAACAATAATAAATTATCAGCCTAATAATAATAATAATAATAATACCTGCATTGTAACAACAATAATAAATTATCAGCCTAATAATAATAATAATAATAATAATACCTGCTTTGTTATAACAACAATAATAAATTATCAGCCTAATAATAATAATAATAATAATAATAATACCTGCATTGTAATAACAATAATAAATTATCAGCCTAATAATAATAATAATAATAATACCTGCATTGTAACAACAATAATAAATTATCTGACTAATAATAATAATAATAATAATAATAATAATACCTGCATTGTAATAACAATAATAAATTATCAGCCTAATAATAATAATAATAATAATACCTGCATTGTAACAACAATAATAAATTATCAGCCTAATAATAATAATAATAATAATACCTGCATTGTAATAACAACAATAATAAATTATCAGCCTAATAATAATAATAATAATAATAATACCTGCATTGTAATAACAATAATAAATTATCAGCCTAATAATAATAATAATAATAATACCTGCATTGTAACAACAATAATAAATTATCAGCCTAATAATAATAATAATAATAATAATAATAATACCTGCATTGTAATAACAACAATAATAAATTATCAGCCTAATAATAATAATAATAATAATACCTGCATTGTAACAACAATAATAAATTATCAGCCTAATAATAATAATAATAATACCTGCATTGTAACAACAATAATAAATTATCAGCCTAATAATAATAATAATAATAATAATAATACCTGCATTGTAATAACAATAATAAATTATCAGCCTAATAATAATAATAATAATACCTGCATTGTAATAACAATAATAAATTATCAGCCTAATAATAATAATAATAATAATAATAATAATACCTGCATTGTAATAACAATAATAAATTATCAGCCTAATAATAATAATAATAATACCTGCATTGTAATAACAATAATAAATTATCAGCCTAATAATAATAATAATAATAATACCTGCATTGTAACAACAATAATAAATTATCAGCCTAATAATAATAATAATAATAATAATAATACCTGCATTGTAATAACAATAATAAATTATCAGCCTAATAATAATAATAATAATACCTGCATTGTAATAACAATAATAAATTATCAGCCTAATAATAATAATAATAATAATAATACCTGCATTGTAATAACAATAATAAATTATCTGACTAATAATAATAATAATAATAATACCTGCATTGTAACAACAATAATAAATTATCAGCCTAATAATAATAATAATAATACCTGCATTGTAACAACAATAATAAATTATCAGCCTAATAATAATAATAATAATAATAATAATAATAATACCTGCATTGTAATAACAATAATAAATTATCTGACTAATAATAATAATAATAATAATACCTGCATTGTAACAACAATAATAAATTATCAGCCTAATAATAATAATAATAATACCTGCATTGTAACAACAATAATAAATTATCAGCCTAATAATAATAATAATAATAATAATAATAATACCTGCATTGTAATAACAATAATAAATTATCAGCCTAATAATAATAATAATAATACCTGCATTGTAATAACAATAATAAATTATCAGCCTAATAATAATAATAATAATAATAATACCTGCATTGTAATAACAATAATAAATTATCTGACTAATAATAATAATAATAATAATAATAATAGTAATATAATGCTGTAGAGTGGCACAGGAAGACCCAGAGGTCTCTTGAGAGGTAATTTCTCGGATCAGAATACATATTTTATTTATGTTTATTCAGCCTAGCCTGAGTTGCGCATGGCCGACTCTCCAATGCCGCAATCAGGAAGCCTTCCTTGAGAACACACCGATTGTGCAAAAGGGGACAGAATGTACCCATGTCGGTTTCCGCTTCATCTGCTATGGGTTTCCCCCCACTTTTTTCCTCTTTATCTGCGGTCACAAAACACAAACCGTTCCTTTTAAGGGCGTTGCAATCCCCCCGTGGCCCTCAAAACGGCCCCAATGAACCCACAAGAAATGGATGCACACCGCAAGGAAGTTCCCAGGATCCCAGTGTTGGAAGGGGCCCCCAAAGGCCATCCAGTCCAATCCCCTTTTCCCTTAACGACACCACCAAAGCCCTTCCAACAGATGACCATTTACGCTTTGCTTCCAAATCTCCAGAGACTCAATCACATGCATTCCACGGTCCCTCTTCTCTGCCCTTTGAATCCATGGCTCTATATTGTACATTTGTGTGTATGTGTGTGTATTAGGGCTGCGCAAAAAAGTTGTTTGTGCCTCACGTGCCTTGTAGCAAGTTTTATGCCGATCGCTCTTATAGTTTTTCTAAAAAATGCTGTTTGTAAAAACATTTAAAACGTCCCCAAAAATCAGTGGATGAGCGAAACCTTCTGACACTTGGTGGGCTTAGAGTGGTAAACTTTGAAAATTCCCCAAAAATCAGTGGATGAGCGAAACTTCCTGAAACTTGAGAGGCTTAGAGATGTGAATATGTTCTACGATTGTTACAAATTTCGTGCCAGTGGCTCTTGTAGTTTAATACAAAATATCTGTGGCTGAGCAAAACCTTCTGAAACTTGGTGGGCTTCGAATTGTAAACTTTGAAAATTCCCTAAAAATCTTTGGATGAGTGAAACTTTCTGAAACTTGGGAGACCTAGTGGGGTGAATGTGTTCTATAATAGTCGCAAATTTCGTGCCAGTGACAAATGTCATTTTAAAAAAATGTTGGTGAAAACTTTGAAAATTCCCCAGAAATCCATGGGTGAGCGAAACTTTCTGAAATTTGGGAGGCTTAGAGGGGTGAATGTGTTGTATGATGGAAAATTTCACGCAATTGGCTCTTGTAGTTTTTTTTAAATGTTTGTAAAACTTTGAAAATTCCCCAAAAATCAGCGGCTGAGCGAAACCTTCTGAAACTTGGTGGGCATAGAGTGGTAAACTTTGAAAATTCCCCAAAAATCAGTGGATGACCAAAACTTTCTGAAACGTGGGAGGCTTAGAAGGGTAAATGTGTTCTACAATCGTACTAAGTTTCATGGCAATAGTTCTAACAACGAAAGTGAAAGGAGCCCCTGAAGTTTCCCATACACACATACACCTGTCTCCAGGTGAACCCAGGTGCGTACCTGGACCAGGAACTGTTCGTCAGTGAGGGTGAGGATGTAGCTGATGGTGGAGGCCTCATAGTCCAGGCAGAGTCGGGAGAGGAGGAGCAGGAGGGCCGGAGGGGTGCAGCCGCCCCCCCGCTCGCCCCCCGCAGCCCCGCCCTCGCAGAAGCCCACCGCCGCCTGGCACAGTGAGCGCAGGAAGGCCACCACCAGCCCTTCGCGCACTCCCTGGCTGCAGAACGCCCCCTGCAGGAAGGGAGGAAGAAGGCACGTCTTAGTAATTCTCAATTAGATTTGGATGGTCTAGATCAGTGTTTCTCCCCCTTCCTAATCCCGCAACCCCTTAATCCGGTTCCTCACATTGTGGTGACCCCCAACCACAACATTATTTTAGTTGCTATTTCATAACTGTCATTTTGCTACTGTTATGCATCTGTTATGTATCCTCACTGGACCAAATTTGGTACAAATCCCCAAATTTGAATACTGCTGGAGTTGGGGGGGATTGATTTTGTCATGCGGGAGTTCTAGTTGGTGGGATTTGTAGTTCACCTGGAAACAAAGAGCATTATGAACTCCACCAATGATGGAATTGAACCAAACTTGGCACACAGAACTCCTATGACCAAGAGAAAATACTGGAAGGGTTTGGTGAGCATTGACCTTGAGTTTGGGAATTATAGTTCACCTACATCCAGAGAGCAATGTGGACTCAAACATTGATAGATCTGGACCAAACGTGGCACAAATACTCAATTTGCCCAAATGTGAACACTGGTGGAGTTTGGGAGGAAATAGACCTTGGCATTTGGGAGTTGTATTTGCTGGGATTTATAGTTCACCTACAAACAAAGAGCATTCTGAACTCCACCAACGATGGAATTGAACCAAACTTGGCACACGGAACTCCCCTGACCAAGAGAAAATACTGGAAGGGTTTGGTGGGCATTGACCTTCAGTTTGGGAGTTGTAGTTCACCTACATCCAGAGAGCAATGTGGACTCAAATATTGATAGATCTGGAACAAACATGGCACAAATACTCATCATGCCCAAATGTGAACACTGGTGGAGTTTGGGAGGAAGTAGACCTTGACATTTGGGAGTTGTAGTTGCTAAGATTTATAGTTCACCTACAATCAAAGAGCATTCCGAACACCGCCAACGATGGAATTGAACCAAACTTGGCACACAGAACTCCCATGACCAAGAGAAAATACTGGAAGGGTTTGGTGGGCATTGACCTTGAGTTTGGGAGTTGTAGTTCACTTACATTCAGAGAGCAGTATATATTATTTAGTAATAATAAATGTATTACTCGCCTTGTAATAATAGTAAATGTATTACCCGCCTTGTAGTTGTGCTAGCAGTAACTTTGGTCCATGACCAAGAGAAAATACTGGGTTTGGTGGGCATTGACCTTGAGTTTGGGAGTTGTAGTTCATCTACATCCAGAGACCACTGTGGACTCAAACAATGATGGATCTGGACTAAATTTGGCACGAATACTCAATATGCCCAAATGTGAACACTGGTGGAGTTTGGGGAAAATAGAATCTTGACATTTGGGAGTTGTAGTTGTTGGAATTTATAGTTCACCTACAATCAGAGAGCATTCTGAACGCCACCAACAATAGAATTGGGCTGAATAAATAAATAAATATTATAGGTATCTACAATATATTATATTTTACGACATTATATTATATTATTAGAATAGCAACGGAAACAAGGTGGAACTGTTGCTAGGATTTATAGTTCACGTAGAGTCAGAGAACATTCTGAACCCCACCAAAAATATAATTAGCCCAAAAAAAATATTATAGGTATATACAATATATTATATTATACTACATTATATCATATTATTGGAATAGAACAGGAGACAAGGTGGAACTGTTGCTGGGATTTATAGTTCACCTAGAGTCAGAGAGCATTCTGAACGCCACCAACAATAGAATTGGGCCAAAAATAAATAAATAAATATTATAGGTATATACAATACAATACATTATATTATTAGAATAGAAAAGGAGACAAGGTAGAACTGTTGCTGGGATTTATAGTTCACTTAGAGTCAGAGAGCATTTTGAACCCCACCAACAATAGAATTGGGCCAAATAAATAAATAAATATTATATTTATATACAATATACTATATTATTAGAATAGAACAGGAGACAAGGTTTAACTGTTGCTGGGATTTATAGTTCACTTAGAGTCAGAGAGCATTTTGAACCCCACCAACAATAGAATTGGGCCAAATAAATAAATAAATATTATATTTATATACAATATACTATATTATTAGAATAGAACAGGAGACAAGGTGGAACTGTTGCTGGGATTTATAGTTCACCTACAATCAGAGAGCATTCTGAACCCCACCAACAACAGAACTGGGCCAAACTTCCCACACCAAAAGAAAATACTGGAAGGGATTGATTATGTCATTTGGGAGCTGTAGTTGCTGGGATTTATAGTTCACCTACAACCAAAAAGCACTCTGAACCTAGCCCACAGTGGGTTCCTAAGACCATTTTTTTCTGCATTGGTGTATTCTCTGCTTCCTTACAGATCAGAGGCAACAGGCCACTCAGTCTAACAACCGAAGTCAACTACTTTCTCTCAAAGGTGACGATCTCGAGGAGGTGATGCTCAGGCTCACCTTGAAGTAGGGCTGGCTGGCGAAGGTGATGTCCTTGGCGGTGAAGAGGTGGACGTAGGAGAGGATGGCCTTGACCTGGTTGAGCAGGGCGGCCGAGAGGGAGGCCAGCAGCTCAGCCAGGCCGGGGCCCTCCTTGCCCAGGGGCCGGGGCAGCGGGGCGGCCAGGGCCTGCCGCACGTCGGTCAGGCACTCCCCAAAGAAGCCCCGCAGGGCCTGCAGGTACTGGCCGGTGCGCTCCCGGGCCGCCCGCGCCACGATCTCGCTGCCCTCGGCCTCGGCGGCGGCCAGGCGGGACTCGGGCACCAGCTGGGCCAGGGCCTGCAGCCGGCGGTGGAAGCGGTCCAGGGCGCGCACCAGGAGCGAGTTGTCTCCCAGGCCCGTCTCCCGGCGCAGGCGGCGCTCCACCAGGGCGAAGTAGCGGGCCAGCAGCCCGTCCACGAAGGTGGCCAGCTGGTGCCGGGCCGTGGGGGCCCCCTCCCGCGAGGCAAACAGCGCCTGGTAGGAGGCCGCCACCAGGCACAGGTTGCCCACAAAGCGGCTGCAGCCCCGGTCCGTGAACTCCAGGATGTCCGACGGAGGAGGGGCCCCGACACCCCCAGGGCCGCCACCGCCCACTTCGGCCTCCAAGGCCTCCAGCTCCTCCTCCAAGCGGACGCCCGCCTGGGACAGGAACTCCGCGCACAGCTCCTCCGCCGGTTCGCCCAGCAGCAAGAGCAGCTCCACGCATTCGGCCAAGTCTTTGGCCCCGGAGCCCCCCTCCCTGCAGGGAGAAGGGAAGTATCACCATCACCATCATCATCATCATCATCATCATCATCATCACCATCATCATGACATGCATCAGAGGAGCCACATGGACGACTTCCATCAGAATTTGATTCATACTGAAGTACTAGTAGAAGTAGTAATAATAAATGTATTACTTGCCTTGTAATAATAATAAATGTATTACCCGCCTTGTAGTAGTACTAGTAGTAATAATAATGAATGTATTATCCGTCTGGTGGTGATAATAATAATAATAATAATAATAATAATAATAAATGTATTACCCGCCTTGTAGTAGTACTAGTAGTAATAATGAATGTATTATCCGTCTGGTGGTAATAATAATAATAATAACAAATGTATTACTCGCCTTAAAGTAGTACTACTAGTAGTAATTAATATATTACCCGCCTTGTAGTAGTTCTTGTAGTAGTAGTAGTAGTAGTAGTAATAATAATAATAAATTTATTACCTGCCTTGTAGTAGTACTAGTAGTAATAATAATGAATGTATTATCCGTCTGGTGGTGATAATAATAATAATAATAATAATAATAAATGTATTACCCGCCTTGTAGTAGTACTAGTAGTAATAATAATGAATGTATTATCCGTCTGGTGGTAATAATAATAATAACAACAAATGTATTACTCGCCTTAAAGTAGTACTACTAGTAGTAATTAATATATTACCCGCCTTGTAGTAGTTCTTGTAGTAGTAATAATAATAATAATAAATTTATTACCTGCCTTGTAGTAGTACTAGTAGTAATAATAATGAATGTATTACCCACCTGGTGGTGGTGGTAATAATAATAATAATAATAATAATAATAATAATAACATTTATTACTCATCTTGAAGTAGTACTACTACTAGTAATTAATATATTACCCGCCTTGTAGTAGCAATAGTAGTAATAATAATAATAATAATAATAAGTAATAATAAGTGTATTGCCCACCTTGTAGTAGTACTAGTAGTAATAATAATGAATGTATTATCTGTCTGGTAATAATAATAATAATAATAATAATAATAATAATAATTTTATTACTCGTCTTGCAGTACTACTACTAGTAGTAATTAATATATTACCCACCTTGTACTACTACTACTAGTAGTACTAATAAGTGTATTACCCGCCTTGTAGTAGTACTAGTAGTAATAATAATGAATGTATTATCCGTCTGGTAATAATAATAACAATAATAATAATAATAAATGTATTACTCATCTTGAAATAGTACTACTAGTAGTAATGAATGTATTACCTGCCTTGTAGTAGTACTTGTAGTACTAATAATAATATCGATCGATCAATCTATCTCTGAGAGGGTTGGACTGGATGGCCCTTGGGGGTCCCCGCGATGCACCTACCGGAACCTCTGGCGCAGCTGGAGGGCGAGCCCGGCCATGATCTTGTTGCAGTCGTCCTGGATGCCGCGGAAGGAGGGCATGTGGCGGTACTGGTGCAGGACGGAGCGGGCCTTGCTGTGGTAGCGCACCGCCTGCCCGTAGGCCTCCAGCTCCAGGCACTTGGTCAGGCGGCTGGGAAGCTCAAACAGGAACTGCAGCTTGCGCAGCAGCGCGTGCACCCCTGCAACAGGCACAACACACGTTAAGACAACGCAGACTAATCATAAAGAAACTGGAGGGACTTTTCTCCTACAGGCATCTTGGGCATTCAAAGCACCTAATTTATTATTATTATTATTATTATTATTATTATTATTATTATTGATTCTGGCCGCCCAAGAACAAGCCATTAGAACCAATTCATCCAAGCCAGAATTGAAAAGTCGACATCAGATCCCAAGTGTAGGCTCTGCAAGGAAGCAGATGAAACAAGAGATCCCATCCTCAGCTGCTGCAAGAAGATTGCGGACAGACTCCAAGCAGAGGCACAACACCGTTGCTAAGATGATTCATTGGAACTTGTGCCACAAACACCATCTGCCTGCCCCAAAGAACGGATGGGATCACAGGCCGGAAAGAGTTACAGAGCACCTGCTGCAAGAAGATTGCGGACAGACTCCATGCAGAGGCACAACACCATTGTTCAGATGATTCATTGGAACTTGTGCCACAAACACCATCTGCCTGCCACAAAGAACGGATGGGATCACAGGCCGGAAAGAGTTACAGAGCACCTGCTGCAAGAGGATTGCGGACAGACTCCAAGCAGAGGCACAACACCATTGTTCAGATGATTCATTGGAACTTGTGCCACAAACACCATCTGCCTGCCACAAAGAACGGATGGGATCACAGGCCGGAAAGAGTTACAGAGCACCTGCTGCAAGAGGATTGCGGACAGACTCCAAGCAGAGGCACAACACCATTGTTCAGATGATTCATTGGAACTTGTGCCACAAACACCATCTGCCTGCCACAAAGAACGGATGGGATCACAGGCCGGAAAGAGTTACAGAGCACCTGCTGCAAGAGGATTGCGGACAGACTCCAAGCAGAGGCACAACACCATTGTTCAGATGATTCATTGGAACTTGTGCCACAAACACCATCTGCCTGCCACAAAGAACTGGTGGGATCACAAAATGAACAGAAAATGAACATGTCAAACTCCTCTGGGACTTCCGGATTCAGACTGACAGAGTTTTGGAGCACGATACTCCTGACCTCACAATCGTGTTAAAAAACAAAATATGGATCATCGGTGTCGCAATCCCAGGTGACAGCAGGATTGAAGAGAAACAACTGGAAAAGCTGGCACAATACGAGGATTTAAAGATCGAACTGCAAAGACTCTGGCACAAACCAGTCAAGGGGGTCCCAGTGGTGATTGGCACACTGGGTGCAGCGCCTCAAGATCTTGGCCTGCACTTAAACACAATCAGCACTGATAAGATTACCCTCTGCCAGCTGCAGAAGGCCACCCTACTCAGATCTGCATGCATTATTCGCCGATACATCACACAGTCCTGGACACTTGGGAACGGTCTGACGTGTGATCCAATTCAACAGCCAACAGAGTGTCTGCTGTGGACTCAACTTGTTGTGTTTCAAATAATAATAATAATAATAATAATAGTAATCCCCTTACCGGAGAGCTTGGTGATTTGCTCGTGCTGGTCCTGGAGAGTGCTGCTGATGCTGGCGCTGAACTCGGTGATGACGGCCATGTTGGTGGCCAGGCAGTCCATCTCGTCCTCCATCTTCTTGAAGTCGTTCTTCATCTTGCGGATTGTGTCTGGAAGAAGGAAGGAAGCACCATTTCATCACCACTGAAAGCCGGCCTGGGCCAACCTTTGACCCCCCCCCCGGGGGTTCTGGGCTCCAACTCCCACAATTCCATAATAATAATAATAATAATAATAATAATAATAATAATAATAATAATTGTAATTATAATAAAAATGTTTAACCAATTTGTAGTACTAGTAGTAATAGTAATGAATGTATAACCTGACTGGTAATAATAATAATAATAATAATAACAGTAGTACCAATGTTATAATAATAATGAATATATCACCACCTTGTAATAATAACAATAAACGTATTAACCAGCTTGCAATAATAATAATAATGAATGTATTATCCACCATGTACAACTACAAGTCAGTTGTAGTTTCTCAAGTCACTCCTGACACAATAAAAAAAAATCCACCATGTAAAATAATAACAAAAATAATAAAAATCATAATGTATAATAATAAATGTATAATAATAATAATAAATGTATTACCTAACTGGTAACAATAATAACAGTAGTACCCATCTTATATTACCACCTTGTAATAATAACAATGTATTAACCATCTTGCAATAATAATAATGAATGTATTATCCAGCTTGTAAAATATCAATAACAATAATAATAATAATAATAATAATAATTAAATGTATTACCCGCCTTGTAGTAGTACTAGTAGTATATCAATATATTACCACCTTGAATAATAACAATAAATGTATTAACCAGTTTGCAATAATAATAATAATAATAATGAATGTATTATCCATCTTGTAAAATAATAACAAAAATAATAGAAAAAATAATAAATGTATAATATGAATATGACTACGAGACTGATTATGACTCTACGATAAGACGAAGCGGATCATTTTAGTGTAATTAGATGTTTGTGTAGTAATGATATGTCAGTTACTGTCATGTTGGCTTATTGTAAACTGTGTTTTTATGTGTTGTACACCGCCGCGAGTCGCCCCAGGGCTGAGAGCGGCGGTTAATAAATGCAACAAATAAATAAATAAATAAATAAATGTATAATAATAATAAATAACCTATTTATATCCTGCCTGCCTTTCTCCCCGCAAAAACTCAAAGCAATTTGTGGCCACACAATTTAATAACTATTTAATAACTATTAAATGTCGAATTACGTTATGATTTGACAAATTAAGCACCAAAACATCATGTTTTACAACAAATTGACAGAAAAAGCAGTTCAATACACGGCAAGGTTATGTCGTAATTACTGTATTTACGAATTTAGCACCGAAACATGGCAACGTTGGATGAGCGAAGGTCGGAGAAGCGTAGCACAATATTAGTATTACGATATTGTGTATATATATATATATATATATATATATATATATATAGGGGAGTGGCGTCCTTCTTTACCGGTGGCGGAGATGAACTTGTTGTAGTTCTCGTAGACCAGGGTCTGCATGTCGGAGTCCAGGGCCCGGATCTGCTTCACCATGTCAGTCTCGCAGTCCATCAGCTGAGACAGCGGGCACTCCCGACGCAGCTGCAAGCAGGAGACGAAAAGGCAACATTAGAAACGCCAGGACACCCATCGCAAATATTAAAAAGACACAAAAATCCATTTTAAAAATATTTATTTATCTATGTATTTATTTACAACATTTCTATGCCGCCGTTCTCACCCCAAAGGGGACTCAGACTAGCTTACAAGATATATATATATATATATATATATATACACATACATGCAATATATTATATTAATAGCATACTCCAATATCAGTATTATATATTACTATATTGTACTATACCATTATATTGTAATATAATTAGTAGTATTACGTGTAATATAATATATATAATTATAATATCATATTAGTATTGTATTAAATTATAATATTATCAATATTATATGTATATACAACATATATTACATTATATTATATATAATATATTATATTATTACCATAACCCAATATTAGTATTATATATATTAGTAATATATATTTGTATTATATATCACTAAATATAATAAAATATATAATTATAATATATTATTATTAGTATTATATTGTATTACATTATATTATAAATATTTCTATGTATATACAATATATTATATTATATTACATTATATTATATATAATATATTTTATTACATCACAATATTAGTATTATATCTTACTACATTTGATTATACCATTACACTGCAATATTATTAGTAATTATAATATCATATTATTATTAGTATTATATTGTATTGCATTGTAATATTATCAATATTATATGTATATACAATATATTATATACAATATATATTATTACCGTAGCAAAATTTTAGTATTATATCTTACTATATTGTACTATATCATTATATTGTAATATTATTAGTAATATTACATGTAATATAAAATATATAATTTTAATATCATTTTATTATTAGTAGTATTATATTGTATTACATTATAATATTATCAATATTAAATTTATATACAATATATTATATTATCACCATAGTACAATATTAGTATTATATATTACTATATTGTACTATAACATTACACTGTAATATTATTCATAATATTAGATGTAATATAAAATATATAATTGTAATATCATCTTATTAGTATTATATTGCATTACATTATAATATTATAAATATGTATGTACAATATATTACATTATTACCATAGCACAATATTAGTAATATATATTATTATATTGTACTATATCATTACACTGTAATATTATTAGTAATATTAGATGTAATAAGAAATATATAATTGTAATATCACATTATCTAGTTTTATATTGTACTAGCTGTGCCCTGCCACGCGTTGCTGTGGCCTATAGTAAAACTTATCAAAGTTGAGGTAGATATCTGGACTCTTATGAACCTATTCCTTCCCCCTTTTCCTCCCCCTTTCTCTCCTTTCTTCCTTCTCTACCTCTTTCTTTCTTTCACTCCTTGGTTTCATCCTTCTCTCTTTCCTTCATTCCCTCCCCCTTTCTTCCTTTGCCTTTCTTCCCTCCCTGTTTGCTTCCTTCTTTCTCTTTTTATTTCCTTTTATTTCACCACCATCATAACAATAACAATAATGCAATGCATTGCCTCTGGGACCTGACACCTCTCCCATTCCCCCTAAAAGGGTCTCAGAGGAAGAATCATAGCATCATCATCATCATCATCATAGAAATAACAACCTTTACCCGCCACGCCTTGCTGTGGCCAACCTTCCCTCTTTCTCTCCTTCTTTCC